TTGACTGTTTTAGTTTCCCCTGCAGGGTGAGGCATTTGCTGCTGCTCCTTGGAGGCTGCCGCCTTCGGAATGTGCAGCCACTCTTGAGATGATGGTGATTTTAGCAAGATTTTCACTGACTTTCCCTGATTTCTATTAAACTCTGTTGGTATCACACCCAGATATTAGGCTCCACTAATCACTGAATGATGGCTCTATTATTTTTAGCAATGCCCCAGGGCACAAATTTCTCCACAGCCTGATCCAGTTTATACTCTTGACTCAGGTAGGTTTTTTCTTTAAAGTTTGTTTATTTGTGTGTGTGTATATAACTATATTGTCTTTTTGGCTGTGTTGGGTCTTAGTTGTGGCATGCAGGATCTCTGTTGTGGTGTGTGGGCTTCTGTTTGCAGTGTGCAGGCTGACTTGCCCTGTGGCATGTGGCATCTTACTTCCCTACCCAGGGATGAACCCACACCCCCTGCATTGGAAGGCAGATTCTTAACCACTGGGCCCCCAGGGAGGTCCCTGTCTCAAGTAGTATTTTGAGGCCAGTCTTAGAGATTTGTTTTGACATAGAAGGATTTTTCGTAGCTCTCTGTGTCCCTGACAGCTCAGTTGGTAAAGCATCTGTCTGCAGTGCAGGAGACCTGGTTCAGTTCCTGGGTGGGGAAGACCCACTGTGGAAGGGATAGGATACCCACTGCAGTGTTCTTGGGCTTCCCTTGGGGCTCAGCTGGTAAAGAATCTACCTGTAATGCGGGAGACCTGGGTTCAATCCCTGGGTTGGGAAGATCCCCTGGAGAAGGGAAAGGCTGCCCACTCTAGTATTCTGGCCTGGAGAATTCCATGAACTGTATAGTCCATGCAGTTGCAAAGAGTCAGACAGGACTGAGTGACTTTAATAAGATATTAAGATAAGATGTGTCCCTGTTTATTTCCGGTAAATGAGCTGGCCTGTGGTGTAGCTTGTTGCTATCATGGAGCTCACAGCCTCCTCTTAATTACTTACCATTAAAATCTCTTGTTATTTCTGAGAGCACTCCTAGGCTTGACCTTATCCTACACTCTGTTCCCTTACAGAGAGCTGTGCAACTCTGTTTTGTGGCCTGCCTGTCCCCCTGGGCAAAATCTCTGAATCCTATTGTGCAGGAAGAGCTGTAACTGGGTCAGTTGTCTGCTTCTCTTGGTGTGATTTCCTGGTGGGGTGGTAGTCTCTGGTCTTCTGGGTGTGCGTCTTTTCCTCTCCTCATGAATGATCCAGACCCTCGTGTTCTTAGCCTGCTATGCTTGGATAGAGCCTCCACCCAAGAGCCAGGGCAGAGGAGTAAAATACTGGAGGCCTGTTCCTCCCAGAGAGATGCAGAAGCCTTATTAGCTGGGAGCTGGGAGGAAGGGAGGCCCATCTTCCTGGCCACCCCCTATCAAGTCAAGCTGGATTGAGAGGTGGGCAGGTCGTAGTTGAAGTGCCATAGACTTGTTGCTTCTTGTGCTGGAATTTTCGTAGATTCTCTTGAGTTTTTCCTCATTTCTTGAATGCCCTTAGGATGATGTCCAGCAACTCTAAATGGCTGGCTGTTTTCTTTTTCTATAATTTTCACTGGGAGAGGGTCCATGGTTTGTTCAGTCTAGCCCCACTTATGATGTTGGGTCCTGGCAGATCCTGGATTTAGTCGTTCTTCAGCTTTTGCCCCTCGTTCTTCCTGTCTTCCTTCCTACCAAAGTTGAGTAACAGTATAGATCTTGACTCTGTAAAACTTGGAACCACAGCGACTGGGCAGATCTTTTTTCCTGGTCCTGCATACATCACAGAGTTTGGCGTAGCTCCATCATAGGCACAGAGAGGAAAAAAGCAGAAAAAATTTCATCCATGAATTCTTGGAAGGCTATTAATAGAGTAAAAATGAGAGCGCTCAGTACTTTGCTCTTGTTTGGGTATGCTTTCATGAGTTCTTTCTGAAGCCTTGATTTTTATTTTTATTCAGATTTAGTATGTACCTGAGCATGTACTGCTTGCCAAGCACTGGAGCATACATTATATGTTAATGTTACCAGGTTCTCAAGAATGAGGCAGGGCTGAAGCCTACCTGCATTGAGATGCTGGAACTAGAGATGGTAAAGTAACCTATACAGACAGCCAGGGTGCGCCCCAGGTTCTCAGACTCCAGGCCTCGGGCTGGTTCCAGATCCTCTAGCCTTTTTCTCGTTCCCATGGTACAGCTTACATACCAACATTCATTCTGCCTACAGTGCCAACAAGAGTAAGGTCAGATGTCCCAAGAGTGCCCTGCCCTTGCTAAGTAGTAATGGCAGATTGCCAGCCACTAAGAAAATGTCCAGGGCATAGGGACTGAGAAGGCAAAGATGATGAATGGGCAGGCGTGTTTTTTGTGATCAAGTCTCAAAAACCCTCCAAAAAAACTTTAAACCTTCCAGATGGAGCATCTTACACATAAATTTGCCCTAGGGACCGAAGGCAAAGGGACTACTTTATTTTATCTGAAAATGACTTCAGTTAAGTCACTCAGTCGTGTCCGACTCTTTGCGACCCCATGGACTGCAGCACGCCAGGCCTCCCTGCCCATCACCAACTCCCAGAGTCCACCCAAACCCATGTCCATTGAATCGGTGATGCCATCCAACCATCTTAGCTATTCAATAAACTTTCATCACTTAGTTTAGCACAAACCCTAGACATATAAGTTACTCCTATCTGGAGAGACTGTTTTAGACATTCCTGAAGCATAATTATTCTTAATAAAGTTTATCTAAAAGCTCATATCTCATTTACATTTTTTTAGAAGTTTCTTCACTCGAGGTTCTTTCCTTGCTGACCAACTTGTAAAAGGTATAACAATATTTAATTTATATTAAACCTTCAGTTCAGTTCATTTGCTCAGTCATGTCCGACTCTGTGACCCCATGGACTGCAGCACACCAGGCCTCCCTACCCATCACCAACTCCCGGAGCTTACTCAAACTCATGTCCATCGAGTCAATGATGCTATCCAACCATATCATCCTCTGTCATCCCCTTCTCCTCCCACCTTCAATCTTTCCCAGCATCAAGGTCTTTTCCAAGCAGTCAGTTCTTCGCATCAGGTGGCCAAAGTATTGGAGTTTCAGCTTCAGCATCAGTCCTTCCTAGAAGGTCAATATATAAGATTTCAGTGAAGGAAGAGTTTAGTGCAATGAAGTGCTTACTTTACAAGAGATTTTCTGCTAGTCAGGAGGAGCTGATGTAACCATGAAGGGATTTAGTGCTTTTCTAGATATGAAAGTGAAAGTCACGTCCAATTCTTTGCGACCTCATGTACTATAGAGTCCATGGAATTCTCCAGGCTAGAATACTGGAGTAGGTAGCCTTTCCCTTCTCCAGCGGATCTTCCCAAACCAGGAATTGAACCGGGGTCTCCTGCATTGCAAGTGGATTCTTTACCAGCTGAGCCCCAAGGGAAGCCCAGGAATACTGGAGTGGGTAGCCTGTCCCTTCTCCAGCGGATCTTCCCAAACCAGGCGTTGAACCGGGGTCTCCTGCATTGCAAGTGGATTCTTTACCAGCTGAGCTATCAGGGAAAGCCCTTTCTAGATATGAAGAGATGCAAAGGTGGGGATCCTGAAGTCAGTTCTTGAAAATATCTAACTATCTGAAGAGCTGTCCCACCAGACTCCCTGGAGCACAGAGTCCCCGCACCCACCCCGCAGTCCTGAGGGTCAGTGGCTGCAGCAGCACAGAGCTGTCTCCGGAGAGGCAGGTGGCAAACGCCCTTGTTCTGCCGCTGGCGATGCTCTTGGCAAGTGTCAATTTGTAGTTGACAGAAGTTTTTTGTATGAAGTTTATGTGTAACTTGATAACTGGAGATCACATTTCCTTAAGTAAAAAATAAATAATGATTAGGGGCTTAGGCCAGTCAGTGATTAAGTTGATCTGTGCAAAGAAGAGTTTTATCAAACAGAAATGTGTTAGTGGCTCAGTCGTGTCCGACTCTTTGTGACCTCATGCACTGTAGCCGTCCAGGCTCCTCTGTCCATGGGATGGCAGAGTCTCACCTCTGTCATCTGAAACTGATGACAGTCTCACCTCTGCCCAGGTGAGAACACTGGTATGGGTAACCATTTCCTTCTCCAGGGCATCTTCCCGACCCAGGGATCGAACCCATGTCTCCTGCACTGCAGGTGATTTCCTTACCGCCTGAGCCACCAGGGAAGTTCAGAAATAAATGAGTCAAAAGAAGTTCTTTGACCTACAAGGTCTTAAAACATCATAATCTGTCAGACATCATCTTTTTCCATGACCCCCCAAAAAATGCCTTTAGAAATTCCCCCTCCTAGGAGTAGGACCAGCCTTCTTTCTGAGTCTCACCCCGGTTGGTCCAGCTGGTGTCCCCGGGAACTTGGGAAGGGGCTGCAGCCGCTCGCAGACGTCATATGTTTAAAGAGCTGAGATCGGAGTTGAGGAGATGAAGGACTTGATCCTGGGATACAGCTTGGGCCCCGAAGATAAGCCAGGCCTCTGCTACAGCATTGAGCATAGAAATGGGAACAAGCAGATTTGTGGGATTAAAGCTGAACACCAGTTTGAGCCAACCACCAGTGGAAGGGTGCTAGGGTGTCTACCCCAGGACAGCGACCGCCACAGATCGCCCCCAAACTTCCTAGAGGGCGTGACCCTGGCACCCCAGCGCCAGCGCATAGGGAGCCTTGGCGTGTGCTAGTTGAGGGGACGTCTCACCATCGACAGGTGCTTGCTGCCAGGTGATTCCCCTCTGAATGTGGCGATCTGGGCTAGAGCGTCCCAGGTGGGCGATCCCCCCATTTCACCTGTGCCGTTACCCTCACCCGGTGGCTCCTGAGGGGCCTGTAATGTGGTTCATTTCGCCTGGCGGTGGTGGTTCTTTGTGTATTAAGGATGCTCACATAGCAAAGGTAGGCCGGAACCGGCAGCTGGGGGCCGGACTGGCCTGCCAAAGGAGGAACGGGGCAGGACTTGCCGGTGTTCACGCTGTCTCCCCTCGGTCCAGAGGGTAGCTCGTGTGCTTTGGAATCAGCTGAACAAGGAGACCCGGGAGCATCACGTCACGTGCGTGGAGTTGTTCTACCGGCTGCACTGCCTGGCCCCCACGGCCAACGTCTGCGAGGACATCATCTGCCATGCCCTCCTGAACCCCGACAAGGTGAGTCTCTGCAGCCAGCGACCCCCATCTGACCCCAGTCCTGACACCCCGCCCCCTGCCCAGGTGTCACGTGGCAGCATGGGTTAGTCATTCAGTCGTGTCCAACTCTTTGCGACCCTACAGACTGTAGCCCGCCAGGCTGCCCTGGCCATGACGATTTCCTGGGCAAGAATACTGGAGTGGGTTGCCATGCCCTCCTGCAGGGGATCTTCCCGACCCAGGGATCGAACCTGGGTCTCCCGCATTGCAGGCGGATCCTTTACCATCTGAGCTATCAAGGAAGCCCTCAGGCAGACTCACCTGTATCCGACAGGAGTCTTCTGGGGCGCAGTGGACATCCTCTTTAACGGACAGGTGTGTTGCCTCAGCAGCATTTTAATACATCAATAATTTCAGGACCGGAAGGCCTACAGAAGCGTGAGCCACCCCGTGTGTCGTATTAAAGCTTACCAGGGACATCTGCCCTGGCTCCCGTGATGCTTGCAGGGCCCCCAGAGCTCTGGGTGAAGCAGGCAGCTACAGAGACCATGTCACCCCCGGAGCCCTGGCTCTGCACTGCCGTCAGGTCCTGTCCTCTAAGCCAGGGGTCCCCAGTCTCCGGGCTGCAGATGGGAACCTCCTGTGATATTAGCGGTGGTATTAGATGAGAAATGAAGGGCATGATAACTGTCAGTGATCATGGAATCATTCTGAAACCATCCCCCAACCCCAGTTCATGGAAGAAAGTTGTCTTCCGTGAAACTGGCGCCAAAGAGGCTGGGGATGACACTGCCAGAGGCCACGAGGAGGCCATGCCCTTTTTCTTCTCCAGTCGCAGGCCTGACCGTGGCCCTGGACTCCAGTGGTCGTGGAGTCTGGAGCACAGACTGCCCCGAGAGCGCATCCACAGCAAGGAGGGCGAGGAGCGGGGTCCTCCTCCCTGCCCCGCCGGACACCAGGCCCCTTAACTTGGGCACCTCTGCCCTGCCTGCCGTCTTTCCACTGAGTTCTCATTTGTCATTTAAACAGGGCTTGCTGCCCCGAGAACGCGTTCGGTTAAGACAGAAACCAGGCGCCTCACTCACGTTTTCTCTCCTGTTCAAGGGAACCAGGTTGGAAGCTCTGTTTCGATTTTCTGTCATCTGGCACCTGACCAGAGAGATCCAGGGCAGCAGAGTGACGTCTCACAATCGCTCCTTTGACAGGTGATGGGGGCTTCTTTTTTTTTTTTTTTAATAACTTTACCCTTAAAGGAAAAGGACACTTTGGGGAGGTGCTAGGTCAGCATGCCAGGCTGGGCTCGGGGAAACCAAGCCCCTCAGCCCCTGTGTTCTTGATGCGGAGCAAGGATTCCTGGGATCCCCTCAGTGAATTCAGGCCAGACAGGTGTGAATAACTGGTAGGGGGTTTCTTACTTTGATTATGGAAGGAGGAAGCCCCGCGTGCCTCACAGTTATCTGAGGAGCCGGCAGAACAAGCTCCCCAAGGGGGCTTGGTAGGAAGACGAGGAGGGGTAAATCTTGGCCAGGCTTCTCTGGTGGCTCGGTGGTAAAGAATCCACCTGCCAGTCAGTGCAGGAGATGCAGGTTCGATCCCTGGGTTGGGAAGATCCCCTGAAGAAGGACAAAGCAACCCACTCCAGTATTTTTGTCTGGGAAATTGCATAGACAGAGGGGCCTGGCGGGCTACCATCCACAGGGTTGCAAAGAGTCAGACACACCGGAGCACGCACGCACATGGATCTTAACTGGGGTGGCGGCCACACTGGGTGTGTGTGGCTGCGATGTCCTCAGTACCATGCCCAGAGCCGTGCATTTTATTACAGGCATGCTCTGTTCTACATTGGCTTTTAAAAATCCCTTACCTTGTTTCTTGTAAGCTTCCCTGGTGGCTCAGAGGGTTAAGCGTCTGCCTGCAAGGCGGGAGACTTGGGTTCGACCCCTGGGTCGGGAAGATCCCTGGAGAAGGAAAAGGCAACCCACTCCAGTATTCTTGCCTGGAAAATCCCATGGACGGAGGAGCCTGGTGGGCTACAGTCCGTGGGGTCACAAGGAGTCAGACACGACTGAGCAACTTCACTTTCGCTTTTACCGTGTTCCTGGAGCCCTAGATGTGGGGTCAGACACGCAGCCTTAGAGAGATACCAGCTGGTCCTAATGCACCCCACCCCCCCGCCATTTGTGAGGAGACCGGGGCATCAGGATTTTTAAAAGCTCCCCTGACTTAGCAACTCAACAACAAAGCAGCAACAGTGACCCTAGCTGGAAGCAGGGTTGACCTTGTGGTCCTCATCTGCCTGGGCGCGCAAGTCCAGCCCCCTGGGTGGAGCTCCCCGAGGGTGTCCTGAGCGCCCTGACGGTGAGCATCCACAACCCCCCCAACCCACGGCAGGTCCCTGTTCGTGGTGCTGGACAGCCTGGGCAGCTCGGACGGGGCCATCGGGGCCACCGCCCAGGGCTGGCTGGTGCGGGCGCTCTCCCTGGGTGACGCGGCCCGCATCCTGGAGCCCGTGCTCCTGCTCCTGCTGCAGCCAAAGACCCAGCGGACCGCCATCCACTGCCTCACGCGGGAGAACTCAGCGGGTGAGTACACCGCGCGGGGGCCAAGTCGGCCCCGCGTCCCAGGGACCCTGGGCCCAGGGGGAGGGAAGGGGCAGCCAGGACCTCCCTGCTGCCCTGGGGCCGCAGTCAGGGCACTCAGACTGACAGGATGGTTTCGCCAGATTCGAAAGCTGGGGGAGGTACTTTGTGGGGCCTCCTAAAATTTCCGGATCAGATGAACCAGCACTTCGAAATGCAGTAGTAGGTTTGTTGTTTTCACTGAAAAATATATGATATCCTTTTTTATATTAAAAAGGAAAATACTAGCAACACATGTTCCAATAAATATAGCTGATTCTTGGTTCTTTTGCTGGAGAAAACAATTCAGGTGCATCCAAGGTAGTAGGAGAGAAAAACAGACCATCCATCTGAAGGTCCCCAAGGCCACCTCTTCACTTAGGAAGGAAGTCTGAGGTCTGGTGTGAAGGTCATTTTGGGCTGGGCAGACTAGCTCTTCTCAGACCTGGGACGGGAGAGCAGAGGTTTTTCCCAGGTATGAATGATCGAGCGTGTCGAAACCTGCATGTAAGCTAATCAGTCGTGCTATATAAAAATCACTTCTGCTCAAGAACCGTCAACAAGGTAAGTGGTTTCTATCTGCTCTCCAAGGTTCTTTCCAGCTTTAACCTGAAATCAGAGAGGAAGAAACAGACCTCTGGGCTCTGAGAATTTTCAGAGGCATCTTTAACTAAATTTTAAAGACTAGAGATAGAAAAAGAAAAGAAAGACTGAAATGAGACCGATGATTTCATTGAATTTCAGTGATTAATACTTAGTACAGTTTATGGTCTAACATCACTTTGCACAATAGGTGTATTTTATGATTTCCTGCAGTTAGTTCTCTAAGCAATGGCTTTACAGACTTTAACTAGTTTGTTTAGCTTAGTGGGTTGTAAATACTCAGTGTTCGTCAGTCTCATCTTAACAGAGGAACGCAGCCCAACACCTAAATAAGCAAAGATTCCCAGGTGGCTTCCTCTCTTTGCAAGGTTCCTTGCCTAAAAACTAGGAGGCATTTTATTACTCCACACTTACAAGAAAGTAAAATACAAAGAACTGTAAACTATAAAAGTTTGGTCTTCATTTATGGCAGCTCAATTTTGAAGCATTTCTTTGCTTTAACAAGAAACTAGAGCTCGTCGGGTGTTAAAAGTCTCGGGGCATTTCCTGCTGCGTCTTCTAATTCCTGTCTAATGCTGCCTGCCTGTTAAGAAGAAAAAATGTGTCTTCTCTGCCCTGTTCGCTCCCTGGGAACAACCTGAAGGGTTCTACTTCCCCTCCTTGCTACTGCAGTAGTCCTTTGGAAATCTCATTTTTAAATACTGTTGTGAACAACTGGAAGCTCATATTTCTAATATCTTATCCTTCCTTCTTTCCTAACCTGGCTCAATGTTCATGGAATAGATTTGTTGAAAGCTGCCTATTAAAAATGTTTGGCAGTGCGAAAGACATCTGGCTTTTCACTCCTTTTTAAGAGCCCTGAGCACTTTAAAGCATTGTGTTTAAAAGAGTATCTGTAAAAAGTGGACTTTTTTGAACAGCAAAGATTCTGCAGCTTGCTGTTTTCTTTTAATACTTAAGATAATCTGGACATTGCGCCATATCAGTGCATGTAGATGTGTCTTTAGAAAACCCAGCAGTAGCCTTCTGCATGCCTGCACCATGAGGTTTCAGTCTTCTTACTTTGTGGATGCTTTGTTTTTATACAGCACATCTCAGCAATACCCTTTCAGTTTTGAGAAACCTTCTATTGACGTTTCTGTAGGGTACCTTTTTTTGAACGGAAAGTCCTGGGAGAAAACGATAGGCATTTTTATAGATCACCCTTCCCCTAAACTTGGTATATTTATATCTTCTATGATAATATAACTAAATTATCCAACTTCTTGAACATTTTAAAAGACCTGTTCACTTTGCTTGTCTGACTTCCATCTGTAATGTAACCTAGACTCCAGTGTTGTCGTTTCACACAGGAGCTGTGTTTTGTTGTTTTTTTATGCTTTATTTTTTATTGCAGTATTGTTGATTTACAGTGCTACACAAGTTTCATGTGGACAGCATAGTGATCCATGATTTTTAAAGGTTACATTCCATTTATGGGCTTCCCTGGGGGCTCAGTTGGTGAAGAATCCACCTCCAATGTGGGAGACCCAGGTTGGATCCCTGGGTGGGGAAGATCCCCTGGAGAAGGAAATGGCAGCCCACTCCAGTATTCTTGCCTGGAGAATTCCAAGGACAGAGGAGCCTGGTGGGCCACAGTTCATGGGGTCAGAGAGAGTCAGACAGGACCAAGCCTCTAAGCATACTCAATTTATAGTTACTATGTCATATTGGTTATATTCCCTATGTGAAAGTGAAAGCCACTCAACCGTCCATGAAATTCTGCAGGCAAGAACACCGGAGTGGGTTGCCATTTTCTCCTCCAGGGGATCATCCCAACCCATCCACGATATTGCCAAGAATTTGTCTTGGCCTTTCCCCACCCCCATGGAGCGTTTTACTAAAATTGATCTTCCTGCCTCCCTTTAAGACCAAGATCACCGTGGAACTGCCTGTCATAACTAACCCTTCTGTGCTCAAGCTGTCTGTCGTTCCGTCCCTTGCAGAAGACTGGCACCGCTGGCTCAACAGAAAGCAAGCCTCGTTCGCGGAGGCCTGGGACGCACCCGAGCTGCCGGAGGGCGGCTGTGAAGACGGCGCGCCCCTGAGCCAGCTCACCACGGTGGACCGCGAGGCCATCTGGGCCGAGGTGGAGACGGAGCCCGAGGCGCGCCCAGCGAGCGGCGAGCCCCACGAGCACGACCGCCCCCCGCGCCTCGAGGACCTGCCGGACGGGCTGGCCCGCACTGCGGCCGAGGACGGCAGCGAGCGCACCGAGTCGGCGGACACGACCTCCGGCGCCACGGACAGCAGCGAGAACACGTCCTCCGTCTCCTCGCCGGCGCACGACCCGCAGGAGCTGAGCGGCGGCGAGCAGTGCTGCGCGCCCCTGGCCGCAGCCTCCCGGGCCCCCGGCCCGCAGGTGGGCAGCCCCACGTGCCTGGCGCGCGCGGACTCAGACCGGACCCAGGCCTCGGAGTCGCTGCCGTCCAGCGATGACGAGGCGGCCGCGGAGCTCCAGGCGCTGACGGCGGCCCGGCTGCGGAAGCAGCAGCGCGAGAGGCAGGCGAGGCTGGAGGCCCTGTTCGCGCACATCCTGCTCTACCTGCAGCCCTACGACGCGCGGCGGGTGCTCTACGCCTTCTCGGTGCTGGAGGCCGTGCTCAAAACCAACCCGCGCGAGTTCGTCGAGGCCGTGTCCAGGACCAGCGTGGACACCAGCGCCACGGCGCACCTCAACCTCATCTCCAACCTCCTGGCCCGCCACCAGGAGGCGCTGGGGGGCCAGAGCTTCTACGGCAAGCTCCCGAGCCCGCCCTCCAGCGCGTGCCCGCACTCACTGCTCATAGAGCTCCTCACCTACCTGTGCCTCAGTTTCCTCCGAAGCTACTACCCTTGCTCCATGAGGGTCTCGCACCGGGACGTCCTGGGCAACCGGGACGTGCAGGTCAAGAGCGTGGAGGTGCTGATCAGGCTGATGACGCAGCTGGTGTCGGTGGCCAAGGCGGCCGAGGGCAGGAACGTGGAGTTCATCCAGGGCCTGCTGCAGAGATGCCGGGTGCAGGAGTTCGTCCTGCTCTCGCTGTCCGCCTCCATGTACACGAGCCAGAAGCGCTACGGGCTGGCCACGGGTGCGCCGGGCGGAGCCCTGCCGGAGGAGGGCGTGCTGGAGGAGCACGTCATCAACCTGGGCCAGGGCCAGGTCTGGAGCGAGCACCCGCTGCAGATCGAGCTGCTGAAGCTGCTGCAGGTGCTCATCGTGCTGGAGCACCACCTGGGCCAGGCGCCCGAGGAGGCAGAGCAGCCGCCCGACCTACCCCGGGAGTGGCGGCGGGCCCTGAGCTTCCAGCAGGCCATCAGCGCCCTGCAGTACGTGCGGCCCCACCCGCTCACCTCGCAGGGGCTGCTGGTGGCCGCCGTGGTCAGGGGCCTGCAGCCGGCCTACGGCTACGGCATGCACCCGGCCTGGGTCAGCCTGGTCACGCATTCCCTGCCGTACTTCGGAAGGTCCCTGGGCTGGACGGTTACACCCTTCCTTGTCCAGATCTGCAAAAACTTGGACGAGCTGGTCAAGCAGTATGAGAGCGAGTCGGTGAAGCTGTCCATCAGGTACAGTGAGCCTTGAGGCAACTGGTACTTGTGTGCTGAGTCCCTTCAGTCGTGCCTGACTCTCTGCGACCCCATGGACTGTAGCCCACCAGGCTCCTCTGTCCATGGGATCCTCCAGGCAGAGATTCTGGAGTGGGTTGCCATTTCCTCCTCCAGGAGATCTTCCCAACCCGGGATGGAACCTGCATCTCCTGTGTCTCCCGAGTGGGCAGGCAGGTTCTTTACCACTATCGCCACCTGGAAAGAGGCATTGTTATTGCTTTAATGACAGCTTTTGTCATGAATGGCTGGCTGATTGGCCCTCGCAGTCAGCTGGGGGGTCATTTCAACCTAATCAGAAACCTAGGTAGCATTGTCAGGAGAGGGTAACAAGGAACTGAATGTGGCTTCCTTTATTTTTAATTCCATATGACTACCCAGGCCAGATCCGGGTTGTAGGACAAGTCAATCTGTCTCCATTATTTTTGCAAAACAGAAATAAAAGTGTGAATCCTCTGCACAGAAATCCTAAAACATCTGGAAACATTTTTCCAAAGCGACCAGATAAATGTAAAACAGCTTGAAAGAGGCCTGTCATTTTTGTAGCGGTATTTCATTATGAGAGCCCCAGTTTGTTTTAAGATGGTGATTTCTCTATGGTTTTTATGTTTAGGATTAAAAACTTTTCTGGCCTCATTCTTAAAGATTCTGAAAACTGGTTTCTTGTTTCTTCACCAAAGCATAACCTCCAAGAGGGAAAACATCTCCCCGGATTATCCACTCACTCTGTTGGAAGGCCTAACAACCATTAGTCATTTCTGTCTTTTGGAACAACCCAACCAAAGCAAAAAGGTAAATTGCTTTTTTTCCCCAAGTTCGAGGCAGTTTGCATATATTGTTTTGTCTTCTTTGGGATTTTGTCTGTTTCAAATAAGAAATGTATGTATGTATGTACTGCAGACATGTATGCCAATATTAATGCCAAATAACAGATAGGCAAATAATGCAAGCATGTGTGCAAGTATATATGCAAATGTATGTATGTAAGTAACACACATGTGGTTTTGTTCTCACTGGCCACTCTGTGGGCAACTTCAGCCCTTGCCCAGTGTGGCACAGAATGTGATCTTTTTTCCATGTATTTTTTTTACTTGACTTTATGAAGTTTAAAGGCATTTTATGTCTTGATTACTCTACCCTAGAAAGTGAAAGTCACTCAGTCATGTCCGACTCTTGGGGTCCATGGACCCTAAGGACTGTAGCCCACCAGGCTCCTCTGTCCATGGAATTTTCCAGGCCAGAATACTAGAGTGGGTAGCCGTTTCCTTCTCCAGGGGATTGTCCCAACCCAGGGATCAAACCCGGGTCTTCTACAATGCAGGCGGATTCTTTACGACCTGAGCCCCCAGGGAAGCACACTCTACCCTATCTGGGATTAAATTTTAGAACAGAGCTTGTACTTTGGTTGAGGGACTGGCAACCACACACATCCCTCTTTGAAGGGAAGTCATGGGTTTAAATGCTCAGTGAGGCATCTTATTTCTAGACCACCCGTGGGCCTTGCCCTGGGGAGTGCTCCAGCCCAGACTCCATCCACCAACCCCAGGTTCTTCATGGAAAGGGAAATGCTTCTGGGTCTCACGTGTGTTCATCTCTGTTTTTCAGACCTCTGCTGTGACCGACCCTACCAATCTGAAGAATGCCAAGAATGCTATTCTGGAAGAGCTCCCTCGAATCGTTAACACCATGGCCCTTCTCTGGAACGTCCTCAGGAAGGAGGAGACTCAGAAGAGACCCGTCGATCTCCTCGGAGCCACGAAGGGATCCTCTTCCGTTTACTTTAAAACCACCAAAGTGAGAGAGCTTCCTCTGTGGGCTTACGATTTCCTTTGTCTTGCATTGTCCCGCCAGAAATAAAAATACGCAGGGGTGTATACATACTTAATCAAAGACCATGTGCCCAGAGAAACCCACGTTAGAAGTCCTGTTATAAGTAAACAGGAAACAGGAATCTCCAGTTTGTTTATTAGAGTAAGCCTTATATTCATGGGAAGAAGGCTTTTGTGAGTACTTTTCAGTTTATTTTTTCCTCTTTGGCTATTTAGAGAAATTATCTTTGGCCGTGCCAGGTGTGCGTTGCAGCAAGGGCTTTCTCTAGTTTCGGGGAGCAGTGTCTACGCTTCATCGCGGTGTGTGGGCCTCGTGTTGCGATGGTTTCTCTTGTCATGGACTACGGACTCTCCGGCTGCAGGCTTCAGTCGCTGCAGCTCCCGGGATCTGGAGCACAGGCTCAGTAGTTGTGGCAGAAGGAGTGAGTGAGTTGCATGTGGGATCTTCCTGGATCACGGCTTGGAACCTTGTCTCCTGCATTGGATGCTTGACCTCTGAGCCACCAGGAAAGCCCCGCAGTCAATTCTTGAGCCAGGCGTTGATGACTCAGGGGGGTCCTGGGAGGCGAAAGCTTTTCCACAAACAAGAGGCCAGCAGAGGAAAAGCGGGGAGGGATCTATCCCAGGAAGTCCCCAGAGGGTCCCGCACCACGTTAAACCCTTGACTCTCCCTGGGAGGCACCCAGGCACGTAACTCAGTGTATGATCGCCATGTCCCATGGCTCCCAGCTGTCCGGCCGTGTCTCCCGTCCGCTGAGCACCGCTGGCTTCTGGCAGCCTGGGTTGAGCAGAACAGTCAGGGCCCAGGGACCCAGGTCGCCTGGATTTGGCTCCCTGCTCAGCTGCTCTGTGGGACCTTGAGCATGTGCATTAAACCTCTGTGTGCTGTTTCCTCCGCCGGAAACAGGATGCTGGGCGTCATCTGAGCACTCTCTGTTTACTGGCGTATTCAGTCCTCACCTGCAAGACAGGTGCTATTATATTCCCAGGTAACAGGTGACGGGTGTAGAGAGAGCATGTGATTCTTTTCTGTGGTCAGCCAGGCAGTCCGACTCCCAGATCAGCGGGCTTTTAGGTTCCGGGAGGCACAGGTAGCCTCCAAAAATTTTCTGTCGGTTCCAGGGATGACCTCCAAGGGAATCTGCCACAGGAACCTGCTTAAATTCAGCCTAAAAATTAATCTCTTAAAAGGTCCAGAAGGTTCGCTCAGCCTGAGCCTCGGTTTCCTCCTCTGTGAAATGAGCCTGTCACTAGTAGCCTACCCCCTGGACTGATGGAAGAGTTCGTTGTGGTGCTGGCTGACATTTATTGGGGGTTTCCAGGGGCTTCCCAGGTGGCTCAGTACAGGAGACATGGGTTCAATCCCTGAGTTGGGAAGATCCCCTGGCAAAGGGAATGGCAACCCACTCCAGTCTTCTTGCCTGGAGAATTCCATAGACAGAGGAGCCTGGTGGGCTACAGTCCATGGGATCGCGAAGAGTTGGACATAACTGAACAACACAACATTTACTGAGCACTTAACCCAAGCCCTCCCTGAAGGCCCCAAGGCCCTGAGCTGGGGCCCGCATGGTCTCTCAAGCAGAAACCATAGTAGGAGGAAGAGGACGTCCCCATCCCCGGCTCATTTTATCTAAAGTGATGCTAAACAAAGGCAGGGGGGACAGGGATGTTCAGTTCAGTCGCTCAGTCGGGTCTGACTCTTTCCAACTCCATGGACTGCAGCACACCAGGCCTCCCTGTCCATCACCAACTCCAGGAGCTTGCTCAAACTCATGTCCATTGAGTCAGTGATGCCATCCAACCATCTCATTCTCTGTTGTCCCCTTCTCCTCCTGCCCTCAATCTTGCCCAGCATCAGGGTCTTTTCCAATGAGTCAGCTCTTCTCATCAGGTGGCCAAAGTATTGGAGCTTCAGCTTCAGCTTCAATTCTTCTCATGAATATTCAGGACTGATTTCCTTTAGGTTGGACTGTTTGAATCTCCTTGCAGTCCAAGGGACTCTCAAGAGTCTTTTCCAACACCACAGTTCAAAAGCATCAATTCTTCGGTGCTCAGCTTTCTTTACTGTCCAACTCTCACATCCATACATGACTACTGGAAAAACCATAGCCTTGACCAGACGGAACTTTGCTGGCAAAGTAATGTCTCTGCTTTTTAATATGCTGTCTAGGTTGGTCATAGCTTTTCTTGCAAGGAGCAGGGGAAGCCCAAGGTAAATCCATTCATTCCACAGGCACATGTGAGCCTGCTGCTGTGTACCTGGCCCTGCCTGTCCCGAGCGGATAAGATAGAGGAGGGAAGTCCTTGTCTTCCTGGCAGGCACAGACATTAACCATCCGCTTTAAAAAGTGATGAGAAGCCTGCAAAGAGATGCAGGGCACTCTGCCAGCCTGCGACCCCTGCTCCGAGGGTCAAGAAGGCCTTCCTGAAGCAGAGGAGCTGAGCCAAGACCCAGGATGAGCGAGTGTGCCTTCCCAGGGGTGTGTTAGAGGTCAGGAGACCCTCTGCATCCACAAAGGAAGGAACACGGAGGTTTCAGGAATGCAGAGAAATCCAGGCACGGCAAAGGGGAGGGTGGCGAGTGACGTCCCCGGGCCGTGTCATGGGTCTGTTTTTAGTTGGCTGCATAATAAAATTAGGTAAATAGCACATATTTCTGGAAACTGAAGCACATCCTTCCTGGTGCTTACAAGCCGTCCCTGAACTGGTTGAGGCCAGTGTGGCTGGGGGCTTCCCTGCAGGGTCCCCACTTTCTCGCTGGGTCTGCAAAACCTCAGGTGACTTGCTCCGAGCCCTGCCCCGCTCCTATGTGCTCGAAGGTGGTATCCATCACTTCCCAGGAGTCTCCTCTCCGCCTTTTGTGCACCTGGACGGCCCACCACGCGTCCTGTCCAACTTCTCCAGGAGGTGCTCTGCACCAACACCATCCCCCCAACGCCGCCCCTGCCACCCCCAGACCCCAGCATAGTGCCCGCGACACTATGACAAAGGCTCCCAAGGTCACAGGTGCTCGTGGTGAAGGGCGCGGTCCATGGGAGCCCTGACTGTGCTCTCACTCATCGTTTTTCTGTTTTCTGGTTGTTTTTTTTTAAGACCATACGACAAAAAATTTTAGACTTCTTGAACCCGTTGACAGCGCCTCTTGGAGTTCAGCTGATGGCAGCTGTTGCAGCCGTGTGGAGCAGGAAGAAGGGGAAACGCCACAGTAAAACGAAGGTAAAGCCGGAAACGGAAGCTGCCTGGACAGCCCCCTGTGATCAGAGGTGACCCCAGAGGCCGCCAGGGGAGGCAGGCCCCCATGATAAACTTGCGACATCATCTTAGCTGTGCCTGTTGCAGCGAGGTGGGGGGAGGGAGTGGAGCCCACCCAACCTCTGTTTTCTTCTCTTTCTACTGTATGATGAGTATATTGTACTTTTCATTTTAATCTACTGTCTAGCAGTTGCTTCCAAGAATGTCTATAGCATGTACATTTCAAAGGAAAACACCACCAGGGGACCTGCCACCCAGCTTAAGAAATGGTTCCTAGTCCTACCCGTGAGGACCGCTGGGGGCCCCTCCCTGGTTATAGAGCCTGCTAAAAGCTTTGTGGTTTTTTTTTTCTTAAACCAATTTTTTTTAGAGACCTTCTTTTTCCAGGGCAGTTTTAAGTTCGCAGCAGAGTGAAAGGAGGGTATAGAGATTTTCCCTAGTCCCCTGTCCCCACACATGGATTTCCCCACCCCCGTCAGCATTCCCCGCCTCTCTCCCCAGAGGGCTATGCTTGTCACAGTCGCTGACCTCCACTGACAGTCACAGTTGACATTCGGCTTTTTTAATTTGTAAGAATAATACTCGTTTGTGATGGTAAAGAAATCATCGCATTCCTCTGCCCAGACTTCAGTTTACATTTTGCATAAGCATTCTCCATGGACGGCTCCATCACAAGTCCTGCCAGGAGCTTGGGTCTCCTGTTTCTGCAAACCCAGCACGGGCTTCACACTCAGTTCCCCCCGTCGTCCGTGTAGGTTCCTACCCGCTGCCTCCATCAGAGCATCTGCCCCACCCCCGGGCACTGGCTCAGTGCCCAGCGCGGACCCCATTACCCAAGGAGGCGTGAGAGGCTGCTGGGCCAGGCCACCCAGCTTAGCACCTCTCAGGTCTTCCCCAGCGAGGACCCTCACACTTCCAAGGGCAGGCCCCCAACTCCACTGCGATCACCGAAACACACCTCCCACGCCAGCTCCCATGAACCTGGTTTTCCTGTTCCGCTTACTCTCCTCGTGCTTTGGGGGCTGGCTCTTGGTAATCAGCCTGTTTCCTTCAAGTTAATACTATCTGTTCCCAACACGCTTTCTCAGCTTGAACACATAAAGACCAGAGCGATTGCCCATCACCGGCTGTGCCTTTTATTCCTCATCTGTATCAAATACTGATTACATTCCTGTGATTGAAAGCTTTTCTTTTTAACCTCACTCTTCTTCCTACCAATACAGTCCTTTACATAGTATTCCTTTAAATATTCGTTTGAAAGATTAAAACACATCTCTTCCTCCGGGAGCAAGTATCACAGAGTGCTTTCTGGGAGTCCTCCTCATTTTTGTTGTCTCATTCAAGGAACGGTCCTCTTCTCGGCAGATTGTTCCGGCGGCCAGCACGTCCCAGCTGACCCTCGTGGATCTGATCTGTGCGCTGAGCACCCTGCAGACGGACTCCGTGCTGCACCTGGTGAAGGAGGTGGTGAAGCACCCGCCGCAGGTCCGCAGGGACGAGGTCAGGAGCCCGGGGGGCCCTCGGATGAACGCAGGACTCCTCCAGTCCACATCTTGTAGATGGCGTCTGGGAAGGAAACAAAGGATACAGGAGCACCTGGGGATTCAAGGAGCCATAAAACGGAGGTGTTCCTTCCGGGCTTTGTGGAAATGCACGAGACGTGCTCCGTGGACTCCCGTCTTGAGGTGTGAACCACCTGAGATTGGGGACCGGCTTCCACCCTTCCAGCCCACCCCAGAGCACCCTGCCCATAGTGGCTCTGTTCTCTGCAACGTAGTTTGTGTGTTTGACTGCCCCGGGTCTTAACTGCGTCTTGCAGGATCTTTTGTTGCGGACACACAGGCCCTCTAGTTGTGGCACTTGGGCTCAGCGGTTGCGGCGCACAGGCTTAGTTGCCCCGAGGCAGGTGGGGTCTTAGTTCCCCAGACCAGGGATCGAACCCACGTCTCTTGCATTCTCAACTACTGGACCACCAGTGAAATCCCTGGAAGTGGTTCTTATCAAGGGCCCACTGCGCGCCAAATCGAATAAAGCTAGGAAGAAGAAATGGCACTTGGCTTCCAGGAACTGGCAGCCTAAAAAGCATCAAAGATAAGCAAAGCTGGATATTAGTTAAAGGTGAGAAAGACCGACTTCATTCAGTAGCTACGGCAGTAGCAGGGAGAGGCGTGCTCAGTTCCAGTTTGTGCAGAGGTGAGCGGGTATTTTATGGAGAGGGTGAATAGGAAGGGTGAAGGAGCGGGGCTTCAGCAGAGTCAGGGGAGTGGAAAGTTACAAACAAATGGAAAGGGGCTTAGTGGATGTAATTAGACCATAGTTACTGACTGTGATGTGAAAGGTAGATTCCTATGCTCCCCAGGGGACTGGGAGACAGGGGCCCTGTCTTTCTTGATATTTTAAAGGGATGGCTGCCAGGTCCTTGGGAAAGACATTCCCAGGTTGGGAGGAGATGCATACACATCTCAGAGGGACAGAGGAAGGATTTGTAACCATAAGCTTTTCCTAATAAATGCTCAAAGGAGGGGAGGTCAGGAACCCATCAGGACTTGGCTGAACACACAGCAGATTCCTTCCGAGGCCGTGAGCTTTCTTTCTCATTTTAAGGGGGTCGAGGTCATCTCCCTAGGACACAGCCTTGAGCTGCTGGGAACTGTAGTCGTGTTTGCTCAAGCCTCCTAGTGTGTGGGGTGGACAGAATCGTTTGTGCCGAAGGTACAACCTTGTAGACCGAGGTTGAGGCTTGGTCACGACGAGGGCTCAGAGGAGCCTGGCTCAGGACTTCCCTGGCAGTCCAGTGGTTAGGACTCTCCACTTTCACTGCTCAGGGTCCGGGTCAGTGCCTGGTCGGGGAACTAAGGTCTCACAAGCCGTGCTGTGCGGCCAGAAAAAAAAAACAAACCCAGAGACTTCTCCGGTGGTCCAGTAGCTCTAAGTCTCCACACTGGCCAATGCAGGGTGCCCTGGTTTAATCCCTAGTCAGGGAACTGCATTCAGCATGAGTTTGAGGAAGCTCCAGGAGATAGTGAAGGCCAGGGAAGGTTGGCGTGCTGCAGTCCTGGGGGTTGCCAAGTCAGACATGACTTACTGAACAATAGTAGTAACAGGGAGCTAGATCCTCTAGGATGCAACTCAAGCTTCCGCATGCCAGAACTAGGACCTGGAGCAGCCGAATAAATAAGTAAATATTTAAAAAATCCAAAGAGCAGAGGGGCCTGACTAGACTAGGTCAAGGAGAGCATCTTTGTCCATGGGCAAGTTAAAAGTTTGCTTAATTTTTACTAAAGTACAAAGTACACGTGAGAGGACTTAACTCATACTGGACATTCTGAGAAAGCAGAGCTTTCATCTGGCTACAGGGAGATAGGTGGTCTTTGAAGGGTGACGTGATTAAACCACAAAGCTCCTATAGTTTTTCTGCCCAGTTTCTGCATAGCAGTTGAGGGAGCCTTTCTACTGCTCAGACACCTTTTCATTTACGCACAGTGGTTTTTTTTAGTTCCCTGGTGGTTCAGATGGTAAAGCGTCTGCCTATAATGTGGGAGACTCACATTCAATCCCTGGGTCAGGAAGATCTCCTGGAGAAGGAAATGGCAACCCACTCCAGTATTCTTGCCTGGAAAATCCCATGGATGGAGGAGTCTGGTAGGCTACAGTCCCCAGGGTCGCAAAGAGTCAGACACAACTGAGCGACTTCACTTCACAGTGCATTGCAACAGAACAATGTCTATGGTTTTACACCTGAGAGGTCTTTGATTTCACCAGAGCAGACCTCTTCATTGAAAGTGTTGGAGCTATTTTGTTCTGAATTAATTTGACAGAAACCAGGGATTTGTTCTGACCTTGAAATAATTGTCCACTCAGGTAATTTAAGATGATATAGTCAGAAACACTCTTAAGAATAATTCCCTAAATGAAAATTGAGTGGACCAAGCGATCACTAAAAAATAGTTTTAATTCAAAATGATATTTGTATACCAGAGCCAAAAAGTAGAAATAACCCTTCAGCAGATGAATGGATAAACACAGTGAGGTATATATGCATGCAGTGGATTATGACTCAGCCTTGAAAAGGGAGGAAATTCTGACACATGCTGTACCATGGATGAACCTTAATAGCATTATGCTAAGGGGAATAAGTCCAAAAGGACAATATTGCATGATTCCGCTTATCTGGGGTACCCAGGAGTGGTCCAGGCCACAGAGACAGAAAAGAGAGTGGTGGTTCCTAGAACCTGGGGGAGGAGGGAGTGGGCGTAGGTGTTTAACGGGGACTGAGTTTCACTCTGCGAAGGTGAAATAGTGCTGATGAATGGTGATCGTAGTTGCCCAGCAGTAGCTGTGAATATCCTGAATGCCCTTGTCCTGTACCCATAAAAATGTTTTGAGTGGTAAATTTTTTCAAATATATTTTACCAAAATTTTATAACAAATAAAATAAATCTTGCTCTTAGATATTTAGGTCGTAGCACGAAGGGTGGTGAACGGAAGCTAAACCTTGAAGTCGGAGATGCGTTCATGCATTTTCCCCACAGAGGGAGAAAACTGACCAGGAATACCTTTAGCAGTTTTTACAGCTCCGCCTGCCTTGCGGGAGACCCCTCCACTGGGGGCGCCTCCTCTGAAAGGGCCCGTGGCTCAGGGTCGCTCTCTGCAGACATATCCGCGCTGGGAGGAAGGCCTCCGGGGCCTCTTAACCAGTCAGTTACACTTGCGGCCCTGCTCGCCTTCCTTCATTCCACGTGTTCTTTGAACATCAAGTACATGCGTCCACAGTGGGGAATCCTGAAGAGTGACACTGCCCCCGCCCACGGTCAGCCTGTATTCTAGTTGGGGAAAGAAGATGAGGCAGCCTACAACTTAACCCCATGAGGCCAGATCATGGAACCAGCTTAAGGAATCAGATGTAAAATGGTCACAAGTGGCTTCATGACATCTGCCCCCAGCTCTCTCCATGGCCTAGAACTCTTGTTGCCTTGGGGCTTCCCAGGTGGTGCTAGTGGTAAAGAGCCTGCAGGAGACAGGAGACCCAGGTTCAATCCCTGGGTCAGGAAGATTCCCCTGGAGGAGGGCACGGCAACCCACTCCAGTATTCTTGCCTGGAGAATCCCTGTGGACAGAGGAGCCAGGCGGTTACAGTCCACGGGGTCGCAAAGAGTTGGACACAGCTAAAGTGACTTGGCACACACAACACTGGTTGCCTTTTACCCCTTTTAAAAAATATATTTATTTGTTTATTTACTGTGGGCATCGAGTCTTAGTTGCGGCACTTGGGATCTTTCGCTGCAGCTCACAGGCGTTTTAGGAGCAGCACTGAGGCGTAGTCACCCTGCAGCACGTGGGATCTTGGTTCCCTGAGCAGGGACGGAACCCGTGTCCCCTGCATCAGAAGGCGGGTTCCTAACCACCGCATGGCTGGCAGGAAGGTCCCGCTTTTTACTTTTGAACGTGAATGTTTATGTGACAGACCTTGGGTTGGCATTTATAACTCCGGGAAGGTCGAGTTGGCTGGAGACCGGCCTTCCCCGTGGCTGTTTAGTCCCTCCGAATGATGTCCCAGCTACAGCCACGGGGAAGCTGGCCCTCCGACAGACAGCTCCATGCACAGTGCAGGTGCTTTCCCGCTTTATTCCGTCAGTACTTGATCTACAAGCATCTGCAAAACCTGGGCTTAAAAGTAAAAACCCCCAAAACCCTAGATGTCATCTGGCCGACTGGTGTTTGGCCTTTCGGATAACAAAGTTACTTTTGTGGTTGGTTTAGTTAATTGGCTCAACTTCTATAACTTCAACAAATAAGACAGGGAGGGGGGAATAATGTGTTTTGAAAACCTATTTCCAAGTAATTCCAGCCATTTGGGACGTAGGGAAGTTGTCCGAGCTGTTTGGGGGAATTCCTGGAGCTAAGAATTCGCATTTGGCATTGTCTGTAGCTTGACACAGGCTCCTGAGGCCACCAGCTTTGTGTCTGAGGAGGTTCAATCGTTATGCCAGCTCTTCCTTAAATACTTGCTAAAAGTCTGGGGTGGAAAGTAGGTAAACGTGGGAAAGGACTGGAAGTCTGATGCGCAGGGACCTAAGGATGTGGGCCATCACAGGATACCTTTGCTTTTATTTCACTGAGATCCTTTGTATTATTACATTCAGAAGACTCTTGGAGCTGGAAACCTTTGCTTTGTTGGCAGATAGAAGCTGTTTCATTTCTGTATTTGAATTCTTGTTTTAGCCTTATTTCCTCCCAATTTGGAGTAATTAGCTGTGCTTTAATTTTCAGAAATCGCCCCTGGTGGATGTCCCCGTGTTGCAGTTTTGCTACGCATTCATCCAAAGGTAACGCGGCCCCTCAAAGGCATTTTTCAATTATAGATGCTGTTGCAGTGATTATAAGTAACTACTCTTGATTGTCCTCCTTTTTTTCTTTTAATTGAAGTGCCATTGATTTACAATGTCGAGTTAGTTTCAAGTGTGCGGCACCGTGACTCAGTTCGATATAGGGGGGTATGTGTGTGTGTGCGTGTATGCTTTTTCAAATGCTTTTTCATTACAAGTTATTATAAGATGTTGCGTATAGTTCCCTGGGCTTTACAGTAGGTCCTTATTGCTTACCTTTTTTGTATACAGTAGTGTGTCTGTGTTAATCCCAGCTTCTTCTTTATCCCTCCCTGCCTCCACCCGTATGTTTCTTGATTACTGGAGAGCCTTAGTTCAGAAAGTATCTGTGTGTTACTAACCCAGTCGTGTCTGACTCTGTGTGACTCCATGGTCTATGGGATTCTCCAGGCAAGAATACTGGAGTTGGGTGCCATTTTCCTCCTCCAGGGGATCTTGCCGACCCAGGGATCTGAGAGGTGTCCTAATTCCCTCTCAAGCCATTGGAACACCCCGACAGTCTTACTTTTTCCTTCTGCAGAGAGCTAATCTGACATCTTCAAGTCTGTGTGCTGTAGCTTGAACACTTTTATCTCAGCACAGCTTTGTGTGAGACCTGGTAAACTTCAGAAGAAACAGTTTGCATTACCTTGATAACCTAAAAAAAGGAGAGGAATTTTAAGAACCTCTTTTAGGAAAAGAAGTGACTATTTTGGATGATGTCCTCAGTGCTTTGCCCTGTTTCCTGCTGGGAGGCTTCATGTCAACGGACGTGAGTTTGAGCAAGCTCTGGGAGTTGGTGATGGACAGGGAAGCCTGGCGTGCTACAGTCCATGGGGTCTCAAAGAGTCAGACATGACTGAGCAGCTGAAGTGAACTGAGGTTCTGCGTGGGTTCCCTGAGCTGAACACCCACCTACCGGGGCCTCAGCTGCAGTGGTTCCCCAGGTGGCTCTCTGCAGGAGAGAGGATGCTTTGCTGGCCTCCTGCAGCTCTTAGGGCATGTCCTGGATACAGCTACCAGATGCCTCCACCGTGCGGGGAGGTTAGAGCTGCAGTGATGGGGGTGAAGGGGGCGTAGCCCCATCTCACGGATGCCTTGATAGCCTCACGTGTCTCAGGGGATTTACCATTAGTAAATTTGACCACCAGCTGCAAGCTCCCTGGCTAGCAACTTCACATCCCATGGTTATTCTGACCCACGACTCCCTAGGGTTACAGGAAGGTAGGTGGAGGGTCCTAGTCCCAGGAGTCCCCAGGTCCAGGATTGAGTTCAGGGCAGCCGTTCACCCTCCACCACAAGCATCACTGCACTCCTTTCCTCTAGGAGGAGAAAATGAGCTAGTCATGTCCTTCCTCTGTTGTTCAGTCACTCAGTTGTGTCCAGCTCTTTACGACTCATGGACTGCAGCACACCAGACTTCCCTGTCCTTCACTATCTCCCAGAGTTTGCTCAAATTCACATCCATTGAGTCAGTGATGCCATCCAACCATCTCATCCTCTGTCGTCCCCTTCTTCACCTGCCTTCAATCCTTCCCAGCATCAGGGGCTTTCCTAATGAGTCGGCTCTTCGCATCAGGTGACCAAAGTATTGGAGCTTCAGCTTAGCGTCAGTCCTTCCAATGAATATTCAGGGTTGATTTCCTTAAGGATGGACTGGTTTGAGGTCCAAGGGCCTCTCAAGAGTCTCCTCCAGCACCACAGTTCAACAGCATCAATCCTTCGGCACTCAGCCTTCTTTATGGTCCAACTCTCACATCCATACGTGACCACTGGAAAAACCACAGCTTTGACTCTGTGGACCTTTGTTGCTAAAGTAATGTCTCTGCTTTTTAATACGTTGTCTAGGTTGGTCATAGCTTTTCTTGCAAGAAGCAGGCGTCTTTTCATTTCGTGGCTGCAGTCACCGTCCTCAGTGATTTTGGAGCCCAAGAAAATAAAGTGTCACTGCTTCCACTTTTCCCCATGTCCTTCCTAGTGCTCACTCATACGTGTCGTAATCCCAGCAAGCGCCGGCTGCAGTGGCCTGAGTGACATCGTGCCGCAGCCGCAGGGACGGCAGCCTCCTTTCAGGGAGGAGGCCCTGCCCAGGACTCTCAGGAGGCCGAGAGTCGGGGACCAGCACTCGACCCTGGGACCCTCTGGCTGCAGCCCAGCTGCCTCCCTGTGCAGTGCAGCATCACCCCACGGCAACAACCCCGAGTCCTCATTTCCCGTGAGGCCTGACCTGAGAGCTACTGAAGATCAGCCTCCTGCTGGGTAACCCCTGACTGCACCCTCTGCGACCTCCCCATGGCTCACTCAGCGTTTCCAGTGACGTTAGGGAGGCCAAATGCTAGATGGAGCCAGAACAGGCCCAGAGATCCGTCCTCCAGTTCAAGGCTTTCACTTTATAGACAATGAAACCAGGAGCGTCTGACCTGTTTAGACGGGTGGCTGGTAATGCAAGCCCCCAAGTTCTTGCCAGAATGCTGCAATTTAGCGCGTGTGTATTTTAATTTAAAAAGAACAAAACAGGTCAGGCAGATAAGGCTTCGTCCTGTGCCTTCTAACCACCTGCACCTAAAACGTGCTTATAAGAAAACATTTTGATCGGACCTGTTCATGGCTGGATGTTTTTTTTCCCTTATGGTTTTTTGTTGTTGTCTGTTTATTTGTTTTTATTAAATAGGCTCCCAGCAACAGCCTTGCAAGAGAACTTCCCTTCGCTGTTGGGTGTGTTGAAGGAGTCTGTGCAGTTGAATCTGGCTCCCCCCGGTTACTTTCTGCTTCTCAGGTACCGTGTTGCCAGCCGCTCAACGTTACCGCATTTTTTTTCCTCCAGGAACATGTATGTTTTCATTTCTGCTAGCATTCTCATTCTGAAGCCGATTGTCTCTCAACAGCATGCTGAATGACTTTGTGACAAGAACTCCAAACCTGGAGAGCAAGAAGGACCAAAAAGACCTGCAGGTCTGTATGTGCGTGTCCAGTAGGATGGTTCCTCTCCCAAGAGAGCATTGCCCGCCCCCCACCCCCAACCCCCCTCACTGCCCCTAACTGCCCCCCCCTTCAGATAATCTCACTGGAGATAATAAACATTAAACATGGGGCAGAACCAGATCTTAGGTTTGCACATGTTCCCACTTCTGACTCCCTGTATCACTGTCTTCAAGAGGACTCAATAGAGTCTCCGGATGACGGTTTTCATGTCAATCTTGGGCCATCCACCTTGCAATTTGCAAGGTGCCCGCTTCCGCCTAGACCCTGATGTGTGCAGGCTCACTCTTCAGCATGGCTGGAGCAGTAAATCTGTCTTTATACACAGATTCCCTTCCTTAGAACCTTCCCCCCTCCTCTTTTTTAAAGCAATTCAGACTCATGGGAAACTTCAAAAACACTGAAAAGCAAAAGTAAAGCTCAGCCACCAGAGAAGGAAAATCTCCTTTGAGTAGAAACCCAGCCAATAAGTAGAAGTGACGATGGAGTGACGAGGAGATGAGGGTAACTCAGTGGGCCCCTGCACCCACCCAGAGGGTCCCAGGCTTCCTGACACAGACCCCTTCCTACCGCTTCCAGGCACCCTGACTTCCCCATCTGCTCACTGCCCTCGAAATGGCGGCTTCTCTTAAGTCCTCAACCCCTGTGTTGATGTTTTTTTCATATTTATTTTATTGAAGCGTAAGCAGCGCCATGTTAATGTCTGCAGTAGAGCAGAGTCACTCAGTCATGCACGTGTATGCATTCTTTCTCCTCTTTCTTTCCATTATGGTTTATCGCAGGATATTGAATGCAGTTGCTCTCTGCTCTGCAGTAGGACCCCGTCGTCTGTCCATCCTGTATATGTAATCGTTTGCATCTGCTAATCCCAGCCTCCTGCTCTATCCTTCCTGCGCCCCCTTCCTCTCAGCACCCCCAGGTCTGTCCTCTGTGTCTGTGAGTCTGCTTTCTGTTTCCTAGGTAGGTTCTGTTGTGCTGTATCATAGATTCCCCTTGTCAGTGTTGTCATCTGACGTGTGTCTTTCTCTGCCTGGCTTCCCTTTCTCGATCATCCCCAGATCCATCCATCCTTCCGCCATCTCCCTTGCTGCCAGCGTCCACCCCCACACCTCTTCGCCGGGTGCGCCACCCCCGTCCCTCCCACCAGGGAGGGACGGACTCTTGCTTCATGCCCGAATGCACCTGCTGCAATCAGAACAGAAGCCAGGACTGCTCACGTGTCAGGGATGTCTAGCCCCTCTTAGCTGACGATACCCCATGATACCCACTCCGTGTCTCCTCTCGTGTCCGGGCTGCTTGACCAGATTCTATACTGAGAGCACTCCTATGCTCTTCACCCTCAAGTCAGTTTGAAGCTCCTCAGTTTTGTTTCTGGTCGTGTTCGTCAAAAGTGCATCTCTAGTAAGAGCCCGTGGTCCTAAAGAAACCAGAAATCGAATCTGCCAAATGCCTTGTGCGCTGTGACATCCTGTGTGTCCGTTTTCCCCACTGACCATAGAGCGGCCACAGCTCAACGTATGGCTGCTGAGTCCTGTAATGTGGCTTGCCTGAACTGAACGTGCCGTAAGCGTAAGACATGCATCGGGTTGAAAATACTTAGCACAGAGAAGAATGCCGAATCTCACTAATTTTATATCGATTATATGTTGACACTACTTTGGATGTATCGAGTTACACACCGTGAACTTGTTTCTTCTTTTAAGGTATCGCCTCGAAGACTTTATTACCTGTATGCTTCATAGCTGTGATTTGCATTATATTTCTGTTGGATGGTGCTACCTTACGCACTTAAGACTCTCTTAACTTCCTTTCCTCTTTTCTCTCGGTTCCTCTCAGGAAGTCACTCAAAAAATTCTGGATGCTGTTGGGAACATTGCTGGGTCTTCCTTGGAACAAACCAGCTGGCTGAGCAGGAACTTGGAAGTGAAGGCCCAGCCTCAGATCTCTCTAGAAGAATCTGATGCTGAGGAAGACTTGCATGGTAGGTATATATGGCTCAGAAAGTAATGCCTGCTGCCAGCTAGCAGGTCTCTCTCTGCATTAAAAGTGACCTGGCTTTGCTTCTTACAATATAAGTTGTAGTGTCATAAACATAAGTCATAGTAAAATAAACAGTAGAATTCCACTGGAAGGGTGCCAGTGACCCATGCTACCGTGTTCAGCCCTCCATGAGCCTAGATGAGAGTCCTGGGAAATAACTTCCCAAGATAATTTGCATGGACTCAGTGGTAGAAATCTTTGTGAGGTAAAGAATAGGGAGAATGCATGTGGTTTTTTTTTTTTTTCTTTTTTTTTGTGGAGCTGTGGAAAGAAAACTTAGTAAACCAGCTCACTGTTGTCAAGCAATTGATGTGTTTCATTTCTGGCCTGCTTTCCAGAGATCCTTGTATTTGGTCATGGCCCAGGTCACTAAGATTTTATCATGGAGGTCACACACAGTAGGCTCACCCCAGCCTTATTATTAGTTCTAACTTCCTAGGCAAATGATCGGGAGACTCTGGAAGGAGACTCATCTGTTTATTTGGAGGACCACTGACCAGCCAGAAACCCCCGTGGGGTCTGAATTAACTGCCACGGTGTAGACTGCCAGTTGCCGGTGCCCTAAAGACCACCAGGCGAATCTTTCAGTCAGGCACCTCTCAGGTTATTGGATCCGCTGCAGCAAGGGAGAAACTTGGCCGAGTCAGAGGGCTGTCTCAACAGGGGACGCTTGGGGAGGATGGCAGGGGGATGTGGGGCATAGGTCGAGCTGTCTGTGGCAGATGTTTCAAGGTGGGGACTGGGTGGAGTTAGTGATCAGATACGTCTGCACTGGTGGGCACCGTGCTAGATGGGGGCCCGCAAGTGAATCTTCATGAACACGCTGCTTGTTTTGATAAGTGAGCCGCTTTAGTCAGTTTAGTCTTTCTTACAGGATTAGGATTAATCAGTATTAATGATTATTTCTGCAAGTTCCCAGTATAATTTAACACGCAGACACTACTCCCAGTCCCCACACTGCTCAGCACTAGACAAGAAAATCGGGCTCCCCTGGTGTCTCAGCTGGTAAAGAATCCGCCTGCAATGCAGGAGACCTGGGTTCAATCCCTGGGTTGGGAAGATCCCCTGGAGAAGGGAAAGGCTACCCACTCCAGTGTTCTGGCCTGGAGAATGCCATTGACTGTATAGTCCAAGGGGTCACGAAGAGTCAGACACGACTGAGCGACTTTCGCTTCACTTTCACGTTTCCCTTTCCCTCCTCTTTTGATGTGACCTCAATCATTATCACTAGCAGTTGTTACAGCAGCAGAAACGAAACTGAATTTGTGGGTTTTAATGGACAAAGGACAGCGTGTCAAGAAATCTGGGCTCTTTTCTCTTGCAAGTAGCAGAAACCCACTTCAGGAGAACAGAAACACAGCAGCCCCAGACGTTCTGGCTCACGTCTGTGAAATGCCCAGGCGTCCGTGTCTGGTTTTGAGAGGAGAGTCGGAACCACGTGTTCAGACGCAGTTCATCACATCCTGTGCGGGCGTTCTGGTTGGTTCTTCCATGGTCCGCAGCTGGCCCAGCAGCGGGCAGGAAGGGCTCGTGCCCAGGAGCCCCGAAAAGTGGTCTCCCACCCAAGAGGGGCTTCTCTTCCCAGGAGGAGAAGGGATGGCGTTGGGCAGACAAACCGCAGTGCCCCTTCCCATCACTTCCACCGTGTGTATCTGACAGCTAGCTTTGCGGTTTATGTAAGAAAAGTAATCACACTTTACTCTGTATCGAAGATCCTGTAGCTCGTGTACTATCATTTGCTAACGTAAACCAACAATTACGTTTATTCAGGCTGTGGTTCTGATTATAGTTGTGGTTCCAGGGAAGGAGAGTCCGTGCCTCTCCTTGACTCCTTTGCTCTCAGTTACTCTGCCAAAGTTTCCGATGTGCGGATTAAACTGCCTCTCGAATCCTGGCGTGCTGCAGTCCGTGGGGCCGCAGAGAGTCAGGCACGACTGAGCCACTGAACCGCCATCACCACCAGCTCAGCTGAGCTGTGTCAAGTGTTTCTGGGCTGACTTCTCTGCTGTCGTTAGATTTAACCTCAAGACAATAAAGTAGTCAAATAATTATCTGAGTTTTTATTTAAGAAAAGGAATCATAGGACTTCCCGTTGGTTCAGTGGTTGAGACTCAGCGCTCCTAATGCAGGGCACGTGGGTCTGATCCCTCATTGGGGAACCAAGATCCTACATGCTGTGCAGTGCAGCCTAAAAAAAACCAAAAAACAGAATTCCAAAGCAGAAAGTGACTTGGGGCGTCTTAATTAGCAATTTGGGTAAACTCCGAAAGTTGGTGATGGACAGGGAGGCCTGACGTGCTGCAGTCCATGGGGTCACAAAGAGCTGGACAAGACTGAGCGCCTAAACTGAACTGAACTAATTAGCAAAGTGTAGAGTACCAAAAGAGTCTCTGGATCATAACTATTTTTTTATTTCAGTCTTAAGCAAACTAAGCATGCATCCTGGCGATACAAAGCATGAAACAGAATGAGCCTTCAAGTGACGTGTTTTTTTCGGCTTAGAGTCTTTATGCACGCAGCGGACATGCGGGGTCTTCCGTGGATGTTTGGGTCTGGTGTGTGCCGCGCACCGTGTTCTGGACGCTGGTGCTCCAGCAGCAATCAGAATGAGCAGGGCCTCTGCTGTTGAGGGGGTACATGGAAGTGATGGTCCAGAGTAAATTAACAAAAGGTACCTTTCAGTTCTTCTGGAAATGCAAAGTCATTCCAAAATGATATATGCATATATATATTTTTTTTTAATGGGAGTGGGGCAGGATTCACTTTAGATGTTACAGAACATGTCCCCAAGGAAGTGACAGTTGTGCTGAGAAATGAAAGATAAAGTCGCTGGGCAACTTCCTTGGTGGTCTAGTGGTTGCGTGTCCGTCTGCCAACGCAGGGGACAAGGATTCCATCCCTGGTCAGGGAGCTCAAGATCCCATGTGCCTCAGGACAGCTAAGCCCATGCACCACAACTATCAAAGCCTGCACACTGCAACACAGTCAGAAGACGTATTAGTGTCTCAGTCACGTCTGACCCTTTGTGACCCCATGGGCTGTAGCCCACCAGGCTCCTCTGTCCATGGGATTCTCCAGGCAAGAACACTGGAATGGGTTGCCGTGTCCTCCTCCAGGGGATCTTCCAGACCCAAGGATCGAACCCAGGTCTCTCTGGCAGGCAGGTGGGTCGTGTGAGCCAGCAGGGAAGCCCACCACAACAGAGAGGACCCCCAGTTGCTGCAACTAGAGAAAATCCGTACACAGCAGCAAAGACCCAGCACAGCCAGAAATGAGAGAGAAGAGGGCGAGCGTGCAGAGACCTAAGAAGGCACTCCCCGGGGTGGGGGTGGAGGATGGTGAACCCTTGGGGTGGGAGTGGGCTGAGAACCTCTGGGAACCTACGGAGCAGTCAGGCGAGGTCCGGAAGAGAGCGGGGGAGGAGGGCCATGGGGCTTGAGGCTGAGCTCGCCTCGGGGCTTGGCCGTCCGCCCGCTTGCTGTGGGAAGCCATTCAAGCGTTTGGAGCAGTGACAGGATCTGACTGAGTTTTCAGAAAACATCAGTGTGGCTGCTGGGAGCAACATGGGCCGCAGCAACCCAGAACAGAAACCAGAGTTTCAGACAGAGGACTCGTGGTGCTTAGGGCGCAGCTGACGCTGGTTTAGAGGCACGGGCGCTAAAACACAGTGGGCTGGTGGGAGGGCAGGGTCCCCGGAACCGGCTGATGGCCTGGACATGGGAGTCACCAAAAGGCAGTCAAGGGCGACTTCGGGTTCAGGTTTAAACAGCTGCCGGGGATGGAGAAGACTGCAGCAGCAGCATCTGGGGGAGGGAAGTGGCGCCTGGGCTTGCATGGCCGTATTAAGTCTTGAGATGGTCTGGGAAAGGTCACTGGGGTAGGAGGAGAAACCGAGAAAACATCAAGTCATGGAAACTGTGAGGAGAGTGTTTCCAGAAGGAGGGAGGAGGCGCACGGTAGAAGGCTGCTGAGGAGTGGTGTGAGATAAGGACGCAGGCTCTCTGGACGGCTGGGGGTCATGGCACGCTGGGGTCGGGGGGATAAAGGACTGAGATGAGAAGGACCTGGCAGTGGGTGTCGATAACCCGCTGAGGCTTACTCGTCAGTGGGACAGGAATCAAGTAGTGAATGCGGGCTCAGTGGTGTCCAGCTCTTTGAGACCCTATGGACTGCAGCCCACATGCTAACCCTCCCATAGAGCGGTGGTGGTGGTTTCGTCGCTAAGTCATGTCTGACCCTTTGTGACCCCATGGACTGTAGCCCGCCAGGCTCTTCTGTCCATGGGATTCTCCAGGCAAGAATACTGGAATGCGTTGCCATTTCCTTCTCCAGGGGATCTTCCTGACCCAGGAATCGAACCCGGGTCTCCTGCACTGCAGGCAGATTCTTTACCGACTGAGCTACAAGGGAAACCCCATAGAGAACCCCCTACCCTGCCCACAATGTCCCTCGGCGCTATGCTGCCTTCCCCACTCGCCAACATAATGCTCCGAGAGGCTCCTCTGTCCACGGAATTCTCCAGGCAAGCACACTGGAGTGGGTTGCCATTTCCTCCTCCAGGGATCATCCTGACCCAGGGACCAAACTCACATCCCCTGCACCGCAGACAGATTCTGTACTGCTTCGGGCATCAGGGGACCCTACTGATGTAGTACTAAGGGCCGAAGAATATTGTTTACTTGGCTTACTTTTCAGTTAGAGTTCATCAAAGCGTAATTGTGTGGTGCTGAAACAGTGCAGCAAAGCGGTAGAAATCAATACCAAAAGGTGAAAGGATAGTTAGAAAGTGACGTCTTGACAGCCATCTGTTCTGTCGCTCAGTCGTGTCCACCTCTTTGTGACCCCATGGGCTGCAGCACGCCAGGCCTCCCTGTCCATCATCAACTCCCAGAGCCTACTCAAACTCATGTCCATCTAGTCGGTGATGCCATCCAACCATATCTTCCTCTGTCGTCCCCTTCTCCTCCTGCCTTCAGTCTTTCCCATCACCAGGTCTTGACAGCCATAGGGCCAGGATTAACATGGTCAATGGAATTCCTGTTCTTTGACAAGAGCCGGGAACATGTCTATCAGACAGACAAGACAGAGAACGTGGATATCAGTGTGCTAGATTAATAATGTGTAGGGCCAAACTGAGGGAGTTCCCATTTGTTTACATTCATTTTCTGAATGAAATATGAAGTGAGATTGCCAGCTGAGAAGGTGCATGTAGTGGTGGCTCTGGAGGGAGGAGGCGAATTAGGTTGGAGAGTGAGGAAGCCAGCATAGCATTGAGATACATGGGGGAGGTGCATCTAGTAGCATCAGGTGTTTTTTGAGGTTCATGGTCATGAAATAGAGTGAGATCTATTTCATAGTGGTTTGGTTTTTTCCTCCGGAGCATTTCACTGTGCGGAACCAGGCAATCACTGGGTTTAGCCAGCCTTGCATGCTTCTGAGTGATTGCTTCAGGAGGGAGAGAGGAGATAAAGAATGAAGGATGCTGTCAGGGTGGCTGATGGACCTCGGGTGTGGGTGGGGAGGAAGAGAAGTGAAGACCTGGGAGGTTGATGGGTTGTTAAAGTGAGGAGTTCCAGGGGCTGGAGGAAGCTGTCAGAGCAGCATTCCAGGAGTAAGCGAGCAGGTAAAATAAGACACGGTCACAACAGGAGGCTCGAGATGGAGATTTGGGAAACTGGCAGGACCATGTGTGTGACGGAGACAGTGGCTAGCTGAGCTGGAGCAAAATAAAAAGATTGCTGAAAAGACTTGAGGGGCTCAGAGGCCAGGGTGACAGAGGCACCACCCAAGGGGATGTAATGATGATGGGAAGAGAAGCAGGGAGGAAGATGGTGAGCTGGTGCTGAACAAAGGTTCTCGGCTGCCGAAACTGAACTTGTGAGAAGAGAAAAATACCTAACACATACTTAACACGCGTAATCAGCGTGAAAGGTAGAGACTCGTGACTCACGTTCACGTGATGCTTTGGGGGCATAAACGGTGACCAATCCATCGTGATTTTTTTTTTTTTTGGCTGTTCGACCTTCGAGATCTTAGCTCCCTGATTAGGGAGTGACCACCAGCCCCAGCAGTGAGATCGCAGCATCCTAACCACTGGGCCAGCGGGCAAGTGCCCCATCTGTCATGGTTAAAATGCAAATGCCTCTCTCAGCAGACGCTGCCGCTGCCGCTTCAGCAATGGTCTCTGCCTCTGCGCCCTCGGTGTACAGCGTGCAGGCCTTGTCTCTCCTGGCAGAGGTAAGTGTGCGTCTGCCTCGTCATCCCGGCTGGGGGAATGAGGCTTCACCAGGGCGCGTCCATTCTCAGAGACTGGGGGCTCGGGCTGCCCCGTCCCAGCCGAGCCAGTAAGCCAGCCTGGGCCTCTGGCTGCCCCGTGGGGTTGTCCTGCTAGGCTAGGCTGTGTGTACCCCATATGCCACTCCCTTTAGGAGAGCCTGTTTTCCGACCCCTGCTCTCCTAGGTCCTGGCGTCACTCCTGGACATGGTTTACCGAAGCGACGAGAAGGAGAAAGCGGTGCCCTTGATCTCACGTTTGCTGTACTATGTCTTTCCTTACCTACGCAATCACAGGTATGGCCGCCTCTGTAGCCCCGCAAACCCGCCCACTCCTGCCCAGGTGCGGGAAGATGGCTCATGGGAAATGCATCCAACAGGGCTCCTCTCACGGCCTCTGACTTGACCCTTTGCCCTTCCCACGCCCTTGCAGCGCCTACAATGCCCCCAGCTTCCGGGCGGGCGCCCAGCTGCTGAGTTCTCTGAGCGGGTATGCCTATACCAAGCGAGCCTGGAAGAAAGAAGCCCTGGAGTTATTCTTGGACCCAGCCTTCTTCCAGATGGACACGTCTTGTGTGCAGTAAGAAATGCTGTCCTGATTTATAAAAACGGGCCGGGAACCTTCACGTGGCAAAGTGTATGGGTTTCTGTAATTAGTTCCCATTCCTGAACTGGGGAGCAGAGCTGACTGTTATCATCCCAAATCACAGGACACCACTCACAGGTTAGCGGTGTATTTCCGGGGAAGGAATATAAGTCTTTTGAAAATGACATAGGTGCCCTTTTTTTTCCAATCAAGAGATGAATTGTTATTATTCCTAAAGAGCATAACAAGGGGTTCCAGCGGTACTTGGTCCGTGCTTCTCTGTCTTGTAATCATAAGATGCTGGACCAGTATTGAGACGACAGGGCTCTGTGGTGACCCTCCGGGTCCTTCCCCCACTTCTGGGCTCACACTCCATGAGTCCTTGCTGAGACCGTGCAGCCGCCAGGCTCTGCGTGGGCAGCAGAGATGCCTGGCATCAGGATGAACTGACTGCGCCTTCTACTCAGAGGTCAGCAGAACCACTCGTAATTCTGCCCGTAGCTTGGCTGAATGTGTCTTTATTAACAACAGCGGTCGAGGGTAGAGACTGGTCAGCTTCTTTGCCCATGGTCTTTCACGCTGCATCAGGAAGATCTGCTGGAGAAGGGACAGGCTACCCACTCCAGTATTCCTGGGCTTCCCTGGGGGCTCAGCTGGGAAAGAATCCGCTTGCAATATGCCAGAGACCTCGGTTCAATCCCTGGGTTGGGAAGAAACCTGGAGGAGGGAACAGCCACCCACTCCAGTATTCTGGCCTGAAGAATCCCATGGACTGTATAGTCCCTAGGGTCGCAAAAGAGTCAGACACGACTGAGCAACTTTCACTTTCACCCTGTAATCCTGTTGCACTGTGGGAGACTCTGATGAAAACTAGTGGTATTTGTCTTCAGGACCCCTCTACTGTTCCTCAACACGAGTGTATGGACTTCATCTGTGCAAACACATTTAAGGGAAGCTCTTGCAAAAGCCTCTTGATTCATATGGTAAAGGATTCCACCTGCAATGAAGGAGACCAGGGTTCGATCCCTGGGTTGGGAAGATTCCCTGGAGAAGGAAATGGCAATCCGCTCCAGATTCTGGAGAATCCCATGGACAAAGGAGCCTGATGGGCTACGATCCATGGGGTCGCAAAAAGTCAGACACGACTGAGTGACTAACACTTTTCTTTCTGCAAAAGCCAAAGAACTTTGAATGAGTGCTTTCTTTTATGGTGGTCTGGGAATTATTTATTACTTCCTAGGTTATTTATTCCCTATATTAAGGTTATAAATGAAGAGCTTCTGCTTAGCTTCTCCTTATGTAAAAACTATTCACCCCTATCACTAACTTTTCAGAAAAGAGTTTTTAATCTTAAAGGGACATGTTATTTTTCCTTGATATTTTTGACTGAACTGTCTGTCACCCTTTGCATATTTAACTTTGCTTTCTTTTTTTTAAAATATCCAGTTGGAAGTCCATTATTGACCATCTTCTGACTCATGAGAAAACAATGTTTAAAGATCTAATGAGTAAGTTCTTCTGTGTTAACATGCACATAAGTCACACTTTAAAGGACCAAAGCTTTTTGGTCATAATCAGCTTTTACCACATATTTCAGAACATGACTCAAACTTTTTATGGTGCAGTTTCAGCCACAAACTATAATGTGGCGCATAGGATTTGTCAGGACTCCATGAATGAACCTTCCTAGTTCTGGTCAGTTGACAAGAATGCCTCTAACCATCATTTTTGCGTTTTTATAATGGAGAAAATACTTTTGAAAGCAATGATAAGGTGACCATAATTTGTTAGGAGTACTTTCCTATACCATATATCGTCTTCAAACACCCTATCATTAAGTATCACTCAAGAAGTAAATACTTCTATAAATTTTAAATATTTGGATAATAGCTACATGCCCTTAATCAAGATCACCTATCCACCAGGGGAGATAGGAATGAACACTTGTGTGAATTTCTCATCACTTACCTCTCATTGTAGGTTTCTCACTAAGTGAACCTTATTTGCTATATTTATTCCAGACATGCAGAGCAGTTCTTTAAAACTGTTCTCCAGTTTTGAGCAGAAAGCCATGCTGCTAAAGCGCCAGGCTTTTGCTCTCTTCAGTGGAGAACCTGATCAGTACCACCTTTACCTTCCTCTGATCCAAGGTAAGAAGGCCCACCCTCCCCCCAGCCCCCTCCCCACACAGACAGGCCCAGAGGGGCCAGCACATGCTGGCAGAATGGGCCAGTGTCAGATGAGCGTTCTGCAGGGGTGATCATAGAAGAACTTCGGTAAATCGGGAACTTTGTTTTAAAAATCAATTGCTATAGTGCTGTTAGTTTTTATTAGGTCATTTTTAAAAATCTGGCCATACTTCTTCAGCACTGTCTCCTGCTCGATCGCTCCTGCAGTCCAGATGCTTGGAGGGTGCAGTCCTAACGGAGGCTAGCGGAGGAGCAGGACTGTGGAGGAGTGCCTCTTTTCCTTAGCAGTTTTTTTCCTCTCCTTCACCCTCGCAGTATCCTTTATCTGCTTCAGAAATGAATGACTGGGACTTCCCTTGTGGTCCAGTGGTGAACACTTCACCTTCAGCGCAGGGGGTGGGGGGTTTGGTCCCTGGTTGGGGAACTAAGATCCCACATCCCTCTGGGCCAGAAAAACTGAAAGATGAAGCAGAAGCAATATTGTAACAAATTCAGTGTTGTGCTGCGCTCAAGTTGCTTCAATCGTGTCCCACTCTTGGCAACCTGTGAACTGTAGCCCACCAGGCTCCTCTGTCCATGGGGATTCTCCAGGCAAGAATACTAGAGTGGGTTGCCATGTCCTCCTCCAGGGGATCTTCCCGACCCAGGACTCGATCCTGTATCTCCGTCATCTCCTGCATTGCAGGCGGGTTCTTTACCTACTGCGCCACCTGGGAAGCCCAACAGATTCAATGAAGACTTTAAAAACAGTCAGCATCAAAAATGCTTTTTTAACAACGAATGTGGATATTGCCCATGAATTTGGAGGGTTTTTTCTGCTCCTCATGAAGTGTTAAGATGAACGTTCTAATTCACCGTCCTCCAAGACGTGCAAGAATTCTCAAACAGAAATGTGTTTTCCTTGAGACTCATAGCCTAAACGGGATATAATGAAGTAAAAAAAAAAATCTTTCAAGATCATATTAAATATCATGAGTAGTAGTGTTAAAAACAGTTTTACAACTACTAGAATTATGATGATGTCAGTCATTTGGGGGAAGGGTCAGGTTTATTAAGGTGTAATTTACATACAGTAAAGATGACATCCCCTAGTGGCTCAGATGGTAAAGAATCCTCCTGCAGTACAGGAAACCCAGGTTCAGTCCCTCCCTCAGTCCAGAAGATCCCCCGGAGAATGGAATGGCTACCCACTCCAGTATTCTTGCCTGGAGAACTCCATCAACAGAGGAGCCTGGTGGGCTGCAGTCTATGGGTTGCTCAGAGTCGGAAACGACTGAGTGACTAACACTTCACATACAATAAAAGTCACCCTTCTGGCTGTACCATTCTGTGAATTTTGATAAACACATACAGTCATGTAACCACCACTACAGTCAAGATACAGAACATTTCCATCACACCTGAAAGTTTGCTCTTGCCCCTCAGAAGTCATCTCCTCCCCTGACCCCATCAACCGTTAAATCTGCTTTCTGTTCACGTAGTTTCATTTTTTCCAGAATGTCTTATAAATGTGAATGTGATTAGACAGTGTAGAGCCTTTGAGTCTGGCTTCTTTTGTGTTTGAGAGTCATTCATGCTATTGTACTTATCCAGAGTTATTCCTTTTTATTTCTGTTTATTTATAGTGTTCCATTCTGTGAGTTGTTTACCTGTTCACCAGTGGAAAAGCATTCAGGTTGTTTCCACATAGAATTATGCAATAAATCTCTTAACACTGCCCTCCTAAAAAATTTTCATATAAATATCTGTCAGTTCACAAAATGTATGCTTTTCCTAAATATTAGTACTACTAGTTCTCAGTCCACATCCCTACTTGATTGACCATTTGAAAGGTCTTAATGATTTTAGGCCAAAACATTAACAGCTTTCCTAGGTATTAATTATGATAGTATTTTACATTGGCAATAATAAAAGACACCATTTTCTACTTCAGCTGGCATAACTTCCGCAATGTCAAGCGCATCACGGAGATGTTCATGCCATAACATCCTGAATACCTACAATGTGTGAAAGTGAATATTCAGATAGGACAGATCCTTACTCGAAGTACTAACGGGCTGATGTGATCAGAGGGTGACCAGGAGTGCCAGTAAAGCCCCCCAAAGCCTTCAGCTCGGAGCAGAGTCAGAGCTGAATTTCGTGGCATCCCGACAGGATTTGGGAGGGAGGAGGAGCGACAGGAACCACGTTTCCTGTGGTTCACGGGCAGCATCTGGGATGGTGCTTCACACGCCTGGCCAGGGGACAGGGGCCTGAAAGGGCGGCGTCAAGCCCCTGCCCCGGAAGGAGCGCGGGGGCCAGTGAAGCAGGCGGTCCACCTTCTCTCCCGTCAGACGCTCTCCTAAACCCGGGCTGAGCCCCAGAGGGCTGAAGAGAACTGTCCAGTGTGTAGAACAAGAGGACAGACAGTGGCCTTCCTTAACCAGCGGCATGGCGAGTCTGACCACGGCAGGATTTCTGAGAAATCATGAAAGGGGGAGAGAAGTAGGGGGCCACAGAATAGTATACACATTCTATATGGTACTTTTATACATGACTTATATGTATATGGGGGCTTTCCTGGTGGCTCAGAGGGTAAAGCATCTGCCTGCAATGCTGGAGACCCGGGTTCAATCCCTGGGTTGGGAAGATCCCCTGGAGAAGGAAATGGCAGCCCACTCCAGTATTCCTGCCTGGGAAATCCTGTGGATGGAGGAGCCTGGTAGGCTACAGTCCATGGGGTTACAAAGAGTCAGACACGACTGAGCTACTTCACTTTCACTTTTTTATGTGTATAGAGGTCACCTTCATGCTGACTTTAAGTAGGAAATGGTTTGGGAGCCCTTGGAGAAAGAGGAATTTCTCCATAGACATACCCTCCACTTTGGATAACTCAAGGGCTCTTTTTTTTTTTTTTTTTAATACTACCTGTTTGAAAAAATAGAGTGGAACTCCCTGGCGGTGCTGGAGTGGTGGGTTTCAGAGTGTTCTCTGACAGTCTTGGGTCACTGATTGGCCCCTGGAGCAATGAGGTCAAGGGAGTAAATGATCCATAAGGTTCTAAATAATTGCACACCATGGTAAAGAGTCAAGTCCTGATCAGAGGAGGCAGGAATGGGAAAGGCCTGGCATTTCTCCTCTGGGGTAACCTCTGGGGTCCTTTCCCCCTGGCTGACCACCATCAAGCAGCCCTGGGTGTGGGTGATCGTTGTGCGTGGAGTGCGGAGCTAAATAACGCCGTATATCTTGGCTCCTCATGACGTAAATTTTACATTGATCTCAGAAGAATCTGTAAATGAGCTCAAAGCAGTTTGGGAGGGATGATGAAATGCTGCTTCTCTCGAATGAAAGGAAGACAGGTATCACCCCCTACAAAGGACCCTGACGAAGGGATCAGAAAGACCTCGAGGCAACACTCCAGGCCCTTTAACTGATGAGGGCGGCTCCTTCCAGGTCCACTGAAGTCCTTCCCATCTTTTAAGTCTTCCTCATTGTCCTGTGTTAGCTCCATTTTTACATCAGGAGACCGATGCTCAGAGGGATTAGCACCTCCGCAAAGTTGCATTGCCACTACCTGGCAAAACCTGGACTGAAGTCTGAGCTCTCTGGCTCCCTACAGTAGGCTGTAGTCTTCAGGCGGTACCCTTTGAGGCAGGTGAGTTTCACAGATGGGAAGCAGACTCAGCGAGATTACCTGTCCAGCCTAAAATGAGATTCCGCAACCTTGACAGTGGTACAGAGTCCTGGCTCAGGGCTGTCTCCTCTCTCTGCTCACAAGAACTCCTTAAGCCTGTAAGGTTTATCACTCAGCTAAGAAAGGAGTATTAGAGATTCTAAAATAGCTCATCTTGACTGAAGAATAATCTCATGAATTTAGTTTTTATTTGAAGTATCAATATGAAATATCCCCTATATGTACAAACCACTTTTTTAAAATCTGTTTTTTCTTGAAATAGATTAAGACCCACAAGAAGTTGCACCAATAGTACCTAGTGTTCCTGTGTACTATTTATCCAGCTTTCCCCGTGGTAACATCTCACATGAGCATAGTCCCTCATCAAGGCAGAAAATTGACCTGGGAATATTACCGCAACTCAACTAGAGACTTGTTCAGATTTCACCAGTTTCTACAATGCATTCTTCTTGTGTATGTTTATCTGTGTGTCCAGTTCTGTGAATGAATCTCCTCTACAAATTATTGTGGACAGCATTGCAGCTAGGACGTAGAAGTCTTCCCTCACCACTAAGCAGTTCCCTGAAGCCACTCACTTCTTTATAGAGTCACACCCTCTACCCAGCCCTAACCCTTGGAAACTGCTCACCTATCACTTTCTCTACATTTGTCACCTTGAGAATATTGCATAAATGCAATCAATGCAGTATGTCACCTTTAGAGAATAGCTTTTTCATTCAGTCCAATGCTTCTGAGATCCATCCAGAGGCAAGTGAGGTAGGTTCATGGGTGTATCAAGAATTTGCTCTTTTTTAATGAGTAATAATACTCCTTTTTATGGATGTTTCACAGTTCATTTATCCATTTAACTGGAGGACATTTGTGTTGTTCCATTATGGGGTTATTAGAAATAAAGCCTCTATGATAAACGTGCATGTACCATTTTTGTGTGGTTGTAAATTGTCATTTCTCTACACAGGGTTTGATTACAGGGTCCTGTGGTAAATGTGTGTTTAACTCTCGAGTTCAGTTCAGTCGCTTAGTCGCGTCTGACTCTTTGTGACCCCATGGACTGCAGCACACCAGGCCTCCCTGTCCATCACCAGCTCCTGGAGCTTGCTCAAACTCATGTCCATCAAGTCGGTGATGCCATCCAACAATCTCATCCTCTGTTGTCCTCTTCTCCTCCTGCCTTCAATCTTTCCCAGCATCAGAGTCTTTTCCAGTGAGTCAGTTCTTCGCATCACGTGATCAAAATCTTAGAGTTTCAGCTTCAGCATCAGTCCTTCCAATGAATATTCAGGATTGATTTCGTTTAGGATGGACTGGTTGGATCTCCTTGCAGTCCAAGGGACTCTCAAAAGTCTTCTCCAACACCACAGTTCAAAAACATCAGTTCTTTGGCGCTCAACTTTCTATATTGTCCAACTCTCACATCCATACATGACTACTAGAAAAACCATAGCTTTGACTAGATGGACCTTTGTCATCTAACACTCTAAGGAGCTCTTAAGAAACTCTCTAGGCATCCTCATTTAAGCAATAATTCAAATGTCATTATCCTTTTTGATGCCTGTAGAGATAATCTTTGTTTCATTCCTGATATTGGTAATTTACCTTCTCTTTTGGGGGGTCAGTGTTTCTAGAAGTTTTATCAGTTTTATTCTTCTTTTCAAATTACCAAACTGTGGGGTTTTTTTCTGTATTATTGTTGTCTTGTTTGCAATTTCATTTATTTCTGCTCTTTATCATACCCTTCTCTGTCCTTGTTTTGGGTTTAGTCTGTTCTTTTTCTAGTCTCGTAAGTTGGTGGTGGTGGTGGTTTAGTCGCTAAGTCGTGTCCGACTCTTGCAACCCCATGGACAGTAGCCTGCCAGGCTCCTCTGTCATGGGATTCTCCAGGCAAGAGTACTCGAGTGGGTTGCCATTTCCTTCTCCAAGTCTCATAACATAGAGGCTTGAATTATAGAATTGAGCGCTTTCTTCTTTTATAATGTAAGCATCTAGTGCTATACATTTCCCTCTCATTACTTTAACTATATCCCACAAAATCTGATAATCTTTTAATTTTCATTCATTTCTTTATATTTTTTATTTGATGCTTGCTCTTCAGCCCATATCTTATTTATTAATAGAAGTTTGTTAATTTCCAAGTGTTTCCAGTTGTTCTTCTGCAGTTAATTTCCAGTTTGAGTCCATCATGGTCAGAGTGGGCTTCCCTGGTGCCCCAGACAGTAAAGAATCCACCTGCAATGCCGTGGACCTGGGTTTGATTCCTGGGTGGGGAAGATCCCCTGGAGGAGGGCATGGCAGCCTGGAGAATCCTCATGGACAGAGGAGCCTGGCAGGCTGCAGTCCACGGGGTCAGAGTCAAACACAGCTGAGCGACTGAGCACACACACGTGGTCAGAGAACATCCTTTGTAGAATTTAAATTTGTTGAAGTTAGATTTTATCACGGGTCATAAAGCAGTCCTGGTGAATGTTCCACAAGCAGTTAATGAGACGAATTCTGCTGCATTGAGCGGAGTGTTCTGCAAGTGTTGTTTAGATCCTACAGGCTGATGGTATTGCTCGGTTCTTCTGTATCCTTCAGTTCAGTCCCTCAGTCACATCCAACTCTTTGCGACCCCGTGAATCTCAGCACGCCAGGCCTCCCTGTCCATCACCAACTCCCAGAGTTTACCCAAACCCATGCCCATCGAGTCGGTGATGCCATCCAGCCATCTCATCCTCTGTCATCCCCTTCTTCTCCTGCCCCCAACCCCTCCCAGCATCAGGGTCTTTTCCAATCAGTCAACTCTTCGCATCAGGTGGCCAAAGTATTGGAGTTTCAGCTTCAGTATCAGTCCTTCCAATGAACACCCAGGACTTTATCCTTACTTGACTGTTTTCTTCCCTAGGGCTTCTCTCAGTCATGGGGTAGGGATGTTGAACCTCAGCTACAGTTGTCAGAAGCTACTCTTCTTTGAGTTTTGGTAGTTCTTCCTGCTTGTAATCTAGACCTCTTGTCCGGCCCACAGGCGTTTGGGAACGTTGTCTCTTCCTGCTGAATTGACCTTGCCCTCTGCAGTGTCCCTCTGTGACCCTGGTGCTTTGCTCTGCCCTGAAGTCCATTCCGTGTTATGTTAATAGTGCCACTCCAGCTTTCTTAAAACATTGGCAACCTTTAACCTACTTATATCATTATATTTGAAGGCAATTTTGTGTAAGATAGCATACAGCTAGGTCATTTCTTTAATCCATTCAATCTCTCTCTTTTAACTGGCAGGTGTAGACAGTTTACCTTTAATGTAATTACTGGCATGTCAGGATATATTATGCCTTTTTATTTATTTTCTGTTTGTTCCTTGTTTTTTTTTTTGTTCCTTTGTTTGCCTTTTTGTTTTTTCCTGAGGTTGCTTGAACATTTTTTCAGTGTTCCTTTTTGATTTATATAAAGTGGGTTTGGGGATGTGGGTTTGGGGATGTGTCTCTTTTTAAAGCTTTTTGCAGTGGTCGCTGTAGGGATTGCAGTGAACATAGACTGTATGTACTTGTATCAACATTTTACATCATTTGGGATGCTCTTCTTTTCACCCATGTGGTATAGTTATGTGAAATACTACTTTTCGCACTGGAACCATAAGAGATTGAGATAAACTTTTTGCTTTTACTGTTGAACGTAGGTTAAATACTCAGGAAGAAAGAGTATTATTTATATTATATGATTTTAAGAGAAGTTTATTACTAATGTACTCCAGTGAATCTTAACCAGCACGACCACAGTTCAGCTCTTTGCCATGTTAATTTGTCATATTCCTCAGAAACCCTAAATTATGGGAAGAATCACATTCTACAAGCAGTTATTTCAATGGAGAAATTGGGAAGACTTAGGGACTAGAGAGTTTCCCTCAACTTTTTTTTTTCCCTGCAGGAATTGAAGTTTTTGTCGTAGTCACCAAACCTAAACTTAACTGAATAATTCTTTTATTCACTCATTTCACTTGTCACTCCTCACCCCCAAAATACAGTGTCATCTGCCAACCAACCTATGTGGTCTTATAGTTCCAATCCTTACCAAGGGCTGTCTTTGCTTTCGATGTCTCATGCTTCATATTCTTAGAAGAACATTTACAGGACTTCCCTGGAGGTCCAGCGGTTAGGACTCCATGCTTCTACTGCAGGGGGCACGGGTTTGATCCCTGGTCAGGGAACTAAGATCCCGCAAGCTATACAGCATGACCAAAAATTTTAAAAAGCCACCAGTATCATTTACGTGCTCACTGATGATGCAGTGGATTTCTGGCTTGAGCCAGAAGTTGATGCCCTCCTTCCTACTCAACTGTAGCAGGGGAATAAGAGACCCTTGATTCACTTCTTTAGCAAAGGCCATGAACTGCTGTGCCTCACAAAGAAGAGGTCTGCAGGCAAACAAGGAGAGCAATACGATTCTCCCAACGCCCCGCTCGTGTACAGTTGTCAAATGTCAGAGCAACTGCAGTTGTGTTTTTCCTCTTTGTCTAGTGAGAAGCTCCATACTCCTCATTTGTGTGACATCTCGAAAATCTTCTTTCCTTAGAACGCCTGACAGACAATCTCAGAGTGGGACAGACATCCTCAGTTGCTGCTCAGATGTTTCTGTTTTTCAGAGTTTTGCTGCTAAGAATATCTCCCCAACATTTGACTTCACTCTGGCCAATAATGGTCTCTGAATTGGTAAGTGCAAATACTTTATTCTTGAGATAAAATTGGAGCTTTTTAAAATGCGTTTTCAGGAATAATGTATCCTTTCGCTTATATCTAATTTTATCTGTAAAATTTTCAATCAAGTTGGTAGTGCATGGTCAGCTCTTGGTTAGGTAGAGATATTTTATCCTCTAATTATAGTTGACCTCTCAACTGTAGTTATTTAAATTAATTTGATATTATTTGCTTTTTTTTGGCCATCCCGCAAGACTTTTGGGATCTGACTTCCTCAACCAAAGATTGAACCCAGAAGTGAAAGCATTGAGTCTTAACCACTGGACCTCCATAGAACTCCCTATTTGCTAGTTTTTAAACTGGACTTTTCCCACTTTTATTGAGATATATAAGTTTAAAGTGTACAACATAATGATTTGACTGAAATATATCATGAAACCCTTATCACATTCACTTAACATCCATCATCTGATACGGATCCAAAACAAAAGAATTTTTTCCCTTGTGATGACAACTCAGGATTTACTGTCTTTACTTTCACCTGTGGCTTACAGCAGCTTTAACTGCAGTTGTCACATCCTGCATTATATCCCTAGTAATAACATGTCTTATAAATCGACATTTATACGTTTTGACCACCTTCATTCAATTTTCCCTCCTCTCACCCCCTGCCTCTGATCTCTTCTGTGAGTTTGGTTTGGTTTTGCTTTGTTTCTTAGGTTCTCCTTATAAGTAAGATCATACAGTTTTTGTCTTTCTCTTCTGACTTATTTTACATAGTGTAATGCCCTCAGAGTCCTTCCACATTACTGTAGATGTGCCAATGGCAAGATTCCTCCTTTTCATGCTGAATAACATTCTACTGTGTGTGTGTATTCTCATACAAATATACATGTGCATGTATGTGTGTATACACATATACATATATATATATGCATATGTGTGTATATACATATGCTTGTGTGTATGTATATGTGTGTATGTGTATATATATATATATGTATATATTCATATATATATATGAAACAGTTTCTTAATCCATTTATTTGTTGATAGACACTTAGGATGTTTCCATGTCTTGGCTGTTGTATCGGGTTGACCAAAAAGTTCATTCAGGTTCTTCCCATGTCACAGAAAAACCTGAACGAACTTTTTGGCTAACCTAGTAAATAAGGCTGCAGTGAATATGGGGGTGCACATATCTCTGTGAGAATATTTTCATTCTCTTTGAGCGTAGTCCCAGAAGTGGGTTTCCTGGATCACATGGTAGTTGTGTTTTTAATTCTTTGAGGAGCCGTCCTACTATTTTCCATAGTGACTGTACCAGTTTATCATCCCACCAACAGTGCACAAGGGCTCCCTTTCCTCCACACCCTCACCAACATTTATAATCTCACCCCTTGGGTGACAGCATTTCTAATGGGTGTGAGGTGGTGTCTCATTGTGGTTTCAATCTGCGTTTCCTTGATGATTAGTGATGTTGAGCATCTTTTCATGTGCCTGTTGGCCACTCCTATATCTTCTTTGGAAAAATGTCTATTCAAGTCCTCTGCCCGTTTTTCAGTTGATTATTTGCTTTTTTGTTATTGAGTTGTATGAGTTCTTTATGTATGTTGGATATTATCCCTTACCGTATTTGGTTTGCAAATATTTTTTTTTTTTTATCATTTCATAGGTTGTCTTTTCATAGTTTTGATTCCTTCTTTTGTTTTATTTGCTGATTTTTATGGATATATAAATTTTAAACATTAAGCTAGATCTGACCTCTCAAATAGTAACTTGAATTCACTTTTTTTTTTTTTTTTTTAAGATTCAGGCATTCATACAGCTTGAAGAAGAGCTGAAAAAGGACAATGAATCATTGAGGTAAGTAGTGTATGAGTCTCTGCACATATGTGAAGGTTAATGGACATCACTGTATTTTTTTTGTTTTTGTTTTTTCTTTTTAGATCCAGACTGTGGACATCAATTTATAATGTAGGGTTAGATAATCCTAAACACGATTTTCTTGAAGTAGTTGTGAAGGGACCAGCTATTCTGACCACTTCTCAAAAGGAAAAAACCTTCTTATGGACATTTCATAGGCAAAAGGACTATAGCAGATGTGAATGAATTTCTAACAAGAGTTTCTTTGCCAATTTATAGAAATAGCAACAAAATCAACAGAATGAAAGTTGGAGCCTCTGATGGAAATGGGCCATCGGTGGGGGAGATACCCCAGAGCGAGCTGGTCCTCTATTTATCAGCTTGCAAGTTCCTGGACACGGCACTTTCTTTTCCACCTGACAAGATGCCGTTATTTCAAATGTAAGTCATAGGAGACCACGTGTCCTCTTCGAAGGAGGTGACTTTTCTTTCCTAGGCAGCCCTTTCACTTGTTCTTTCCTGTACACCATGTGGGTTACCAGTGGCCGAGGAGCCTCCTCAGAATACCAAGTTTCAGATTACTCGCAACATCTGTGGTTTGGTGAATTTGGCTCACAGTAGTGTTTACGGATGGGTTTCTGTTCCTGTGTGTGTTTCAGTGGGTTTTGCTATTGGGTGCTTACAAGACAGAGTCCCCCACTGGTGAGCCTCACTGCATTTGTGTATTTTTTTTTTTTTGGTCTCTTTGTTTTTAATTAACTAAATGGAACACACTGCAGAGTGAACTCCACAGTTCACTCTGCCCTTGTTGGCTCACATATCCTGTGGGCTTAACACAGCTGCTCATATGTTTCATTTCATGCCTGGCCCCAGATGCCACTTCTCTCCATCCTGCCCCCCTAAAGAGAGAAATCGTCTAGAAATGTCTGTGGTTAGAAAGACAGAATGAAAGAAGCCAGTCTAAGCTACATACCATGTGTTTTCAACTACATGGTGATCTATAAAGGACAAAACTGTAAAGGCAGTAAACAGATGAGTGTGTCCCAGGAGTGGAGAGGGAGGCAGGGCACAGGATTTTCAGGGCAGTGAAATGATTCTGTGTGACTCTATACTGTGGACACATATCTTCACACACTTGTCCAAGCCTATGGAAGATGCAGCTCCAAGAGTGAACCCTAAGCTTAACTCTAGACTTAGGGTGACGATGGTGAGTCCGTGTCAGTTCATCGACTGAAACAAATGTACCCTTCTGGTGGGAATGTAGACAGGGAGGCTCTGCATACCAGAGCGGGGGCAGGGGGCAAATGGGAAACCTCCATACTTGCTGCTCAATTTTGGATGAACCTTAAACTGCTCTAAAAAAGAAAGTTTGTTTTTTTTTTTCTTTAAGTGAGTTCCAATGTACGTGAATATGCATAGCAGCATTAATCATAATAGGCAAAAAGTAGAGAAAACCTAAATGTCCATCCGCTGACAAGTGGATAAATAACATGTGGTGTGTCCTGACAATGCAGTAGTCTACAACACAAAGAGATGAAGTGCTGGTATGTGGTACAGCAGTACATAATGGGCAAGCCTTGACGATAGTAGGTTAAGTGAGAGAAGCCAGGTACAAACAGCCGTGTAGTACATTGGCTGGAATGTAATCATGTACAACCGTGATTCTATTTGTATGAAATGTCCAGAATAAAAAAATCCTGTACAGACAGAAAGTAGTTAAGTGGTGGCCTCGATTGAGGAGTGAATAGAGGGATGATTGGAGTGGATTGAGGGGTGAGAGCTAAAGGGAGCAGGGATTCTATTGGGGGTTATGAAAATATCCTAAAATTGATCATGATGGATGGTGGTGGATGTACAATTCTGTGAATATGCCAAAGGCTGTTGAATGGTGCAGTTTATTTTTTATTTATTTGTATTTTGGGCTGTCCTGGGTCTTAGTTACAGCACGCGAAGTGTTTAGTTGCAGTGTGTGAACTCTTAAGTTGCTGCACATGGGCTCTAGTTCCCTGACCAGGGATTGAACCCACGTTCCCTGCACTGGGAACGCAGAGTCTTAGCCACTGAACCAGCAGGGAAGTCCTGAATAGTGCACTTTAAATGAGTGAACTGTGTGGTACGTGAATTACATCTCAGGGAAGCTGTTTGAAAACCTCTGGGTGGGCTCTGAGCCCACGTGCCTGACCTCGGATTCTCTTCCTCCAGTTACAGGTGGGCATTTGTTCCCGAAGTGGACACAGAAAGCCCTGCCTTCTCCTCAGATTTAGAGGAGGATCACCAAGAATGCAAGCCCCACACTGTCAGGATTCTTGAACTCCTAAAATTAAAATATGGGGTAATTGTTTTCCTTTTTACAAAATTTGTATTTGTGGTGGAGGGGGACAGGCTCAGGGGGTGAGTGAAGTACTTCATATGCCATTTGATTTCCATGACCTCGACCTGTTCACAATGCCTCTTAAGTGTTCAGACTTGGAGAGGGTTATGCATTTCATCTTTGTCTTAGCGTTTGTATGTCACTTTCTCATCCCGGATGCTAAGGGGTAAAGCCTCCTGGGTGGACACAGTCCTACAGAACAGCAGTCCCCAACCTCTTTGGCATTAGGAGGCGGTTTTATGGAAGGCAGTCTTTCCATGAACCAGGGAGCTGGGATGGTTTGGGGGTGTGGTTTCAGGGTGATTTCATTACCTTTATTGTGCACTTTCTTTCTTTTATCGTTACATTGTGACAATGAAATAATAATCCAACTCACCATAATGCAGCATCAGTGGGAGCCCTGAGCTTGTTTTCCTGCAACCCGATGGCCCCAGCTGGGAGTCACGGGAGACAGGGACACCCGAAGTGTGTTGCTAATGTCCAGTCTACTCTGTAATCTCATCTTGTTCCACCGCTCACCTCCTGCTTTGCAGCCCGGATCCTGAATAGACCACAGGCCTGGGACCCCTGCTGTAGAAGGAGACGTGCCCACAGAGTCCCTCCGTGACTCAGAGGAAGGGCCTCCAGGAGGGGTGGCAGGGCCCCAGCAGGATGGCTCACAGCGAAATCTGGTGGAAGACGGCAGTGGGGACGTGGGATTCGAGTTGACGCTGCTGCTGTCAACGCAGACAGGGAGTTTTCCTAGAGGACTCGTGTCTTAGCTTTCACCGCCTGCGTGCGCCTCTCTAACCCCTAGCATGTCGTCACTGGTTTTTTGCAGGAAATCGGCAGCTCAGATGAGATCGCCATGAAGAGTGAGTTCCCTCTGCTGCGCCAGCATTCTCTTTCCAGCGTTAGGCAACTGATGCCCTTCTTCGGGACTCTAAACTCTGCTTTTAAAACCCAGAGTCGACTGCCCGCCGACACCCAAGGCCCTCCTCCGCTCGCGGAGTTTCCTGTCGCAGATAACCCAAGGGTCTTGAAACAACTGGAAGAATGTGTTGAACATGACTTTTTGGAACATCTGGAATGTTAACCTTGGACCGAAGAATTTGTGTAAGCCATTTACTGAGACCTTGAGAAAAGCCAGGATATACTGAAAACGGAAAAGGAGCCAGGACAGTGGTTCTAAACAAGTCTATCTCAATTTCGAAAGTAAATTTCAGATCTTTTTTTTTTGGTGGCCAGCAAAACACACCTCCCTGAAATGCATTGTAATATATTTAGGTCTGATTTTATGTTTCTTCCTCAATGTATGTAAAGAAGTGAAATTAATATATCATCTAACGGTGGCACAAAATTTGTAATATAAAGTGAACCATGAAGAGATTAAAAGTTGGGTTTTTTTGTTGCAGACATATGGGTCTGTGTCAATACATCTCTCTAAACATTTCTAACTCATTGAATATTATTTTTAACCTTTCATACATGTGTCCCTTTAAGCGTTTATTTTGGTACCACATTTTAAAAAGATAATATATTATTTTCTGAAAATACTACTGGCCCATTACCTTTGACTATTCAGCAGAGGTGTGAGCGTGAAGACAATCTCAGTGTATTTAACTCTTGCCGCGTTAAAATCACGTGTTCACACCTTCTGCTGGGTAAGAAATACACCGTTTTCAACCCTCCGACAGCTGTCCCCTCAGTTATGCACTGCAATGTGCCTGGCCAGCACTTTCCACTTCACATAAATCAGTCGTCATGGTTGTGGAGGCTTTAATGCCTGAAACTGCTGTCGCGGAAATTCACTCTGGACTCTTCCTTATTCCTCTGTCCTCTCTGGGAACTCTGGACTGCTGCAGACATCGCTGTTCGTGGAAATAATTCCTAGGTTCCTAGGCACAGGCGCCTCGGGGCTGGCAGCATGCCAGCCCACTCTTTTCCAGCCTCTTTGTCTTATGCCAGCTCCCTGTTTAGAGTCCACTTGGCACCCGTCCTGCTCGGCTAGTGCCCTCGCTTTCTGCCTGTGCTCCGGGCTTGCCCGCCAGACCTGCCTGTCTCTTGTTCCCTTTTCAGCCACCAGGGCCTTCCATGACATCACTTTCCAGGTCAGACGATGCAGACTGCTCTGATGCGGGCTCTCAGAGACATCCTTTCTACAGACAAGGGTGTTTGGGGGCTTGACAAACATTACTGGTTTCGTTTCTTGTAACATCCTACCATGTATGAGTTTGTGAGCAGGGCAGAAGCAGTTTGTGTCACTGGCCCCAAGATAGGATGTGGGGAACACAGAACCACTTGGTTCCCTACATAATGGCTGAAAGTGAGGGTCGAAAAGCACCATCACATATGGGTATTCATACAAATATGTGTTAAAAATTACATGCAGGGACTTCCCTGTTGGTCCAGCAGTTAAGACTCGGTGTTCCCAATGCAGGAGTCCCAGTTTCGATTGCTGGTGGAGGAACAAACATGCCACCTAGTACGGCACCCCCAAAAATTGACAACAAATCTAATAGCTTGTGTATGTCATCAGTAGCTATTATGCTATGAAAGATAGTTCTTGTATCTGTACTTAGATTTACAAATTTTGTTTTTTCCTTTTTTTTTCTCTCCAGTGTCTAAAACAACTCAATACCATATGTAATTTAATCCTTTTTTATTAAGTAGAAATCTTAAAGGGATTTAATAACACATCTCTGTTTAGCATAGAACACTAAAAAAGTCTTGTAGATGTAAGGCTGAAGCTGAAACTCCAATTCTTTGGCCGCCTGATGTGAAAAGCAACTCACTGGAAAAGACCCTGATACTGGGAAAGATTGAGGGCAGGAGGAGAAGGGGACGACAGAGGATGAGATGGTTGGATGGCATCACCTACTCGATGGACATGGGTTTGAGGACTCAGTTTTACCCACATGCTGGACCAGGCATATACTCTGTGCCTCAGTTTTCTCAACTACAAAGTGGAATTATCGATGGTAATTACCCCCTCAGAGGTGTAGGAATGAATCATCTCTGTGTTCCCTCGGTGATGTATTTTTTTTTCCACTTTTTTTTGGATCTTCTGTGTCTTATTCTCTTGAGTTTTTATTTTATATTGGAGCATATGGTTAACAACACTGTGTTAATTTCAGATGTACAGCAAAGTGATTCAGTTACACATGTATCTATTATTTTCCCATTTAGGTTGTTACATAATGTTGAGCAGAGTTCCACATGCTACACAGTAGATCCTCGTTAATTATCCATTTTAAATATACCAGGGTGTACATGTCAACCCCAAACTCCCTAACTATACCTCCCCCCAACCCGCACCCTTGCCCCCACCTGTAACAATAAGTTTGTTCTCTAAGTCTATGAGTCTGTTTCTGTTTTATAGGTTCCTTTGTATCATTTTTTTGGTATCATTTTTTATACCACATAAAAGCGATATCATATGATGTCTTTATCTGACTTCACTAAGCATGACGATCTCTGGACCCATCCATGTTGCTTCAGTGGTCTATATGGTTTTGATCATGCATTTGTGTGTGCTCAGTCATATCTGACTCTCTGCAGCTCCATGAACTGCAGCCCTCCAGGCTCCTCTGTTCATGGAATTTTCCGGGCAAGAATAGTGGAGTGGGTTGCCATTTCCTACTCCAGGGATCTTCCTGACCCAGGGATCGAACCCACATCTCTTGCATCTCCTGCACCGGCAAGTAGATTCTTTACCACTCTGCCACCTGGGAAGCCCCCATCAGCGAAACCGAAGCTTGTGTTCACTCTCAGTATCTACAAGCGTATGTGTTGCATTAATTGACCTGAGTATCCACATAGATTGTATATTTTATAAAAGAGAAAATGGAGATTTTTTTTTTTTTTTTTGGCCACAGCATGTGATATGTAGGATCTTAGCTCCCCGACCAAGGATCAAACCTATGGCCCCTGCAATGGAAGAACAGGACCTCAATCCCTGGGCAGCCAGGGAAGTCCCCGTGTTTGTTTTTAAGTATGAGGAAAAACCATTTTTTTTTCCTTCCTCATGGAGGCTCTTCTCCACCCCACTTTGAAGATGACTGTTCTGACTCAGTTCCTCCTAGAAGGTAAACCAGATATCCAGCCCAATGACCAAAGTGCCACTGCTCTGGGTGCAAGCAGTGAGCTGGAACCCCTGTTCTAAGAAAGCAGGGTTTGGAATACACGCAGCTGCAGGGGGGTGTGATGAGAACAGAGCCTATATGTATGGGATGACACGGTCATCACTGGGTGCTTTCCAGGGGCTGGGCGTGGACTGTGTCATGGTGGTTGTTTCCTAAGCCCCGGAGGAGGTAAGCAGTGTTATCCGATCCTACAAAGTCAACACTCTATGTTTGGCTTGTTCTAGAGCACTACGTTCTCAAGCCCGGGGCCGAGAAGAGTTCAACAGGAAAACCCCAGCAGGGCTGCTGCTGCCCGGTGAGGTGTGGAAGGGCACTTCTGAGGGCACCCCGCCCAGTGGGGTTCCTGCCAAACCTGGCCACGGGGGGGAGCGGGGGGTCACAGCACAGCTGGTGGCTGCCAGCTCTCAAGGTGTGGTAAGGAGTGTCTTAAAGGAGAACAAGCCTCATGTCCCAGTATGTGTGTATGCCCAGTAAAATTTGAAGGAGCTGGATGGGTCAAGACAATTGATGAAGCCTGTAATTAAAAGCTTTGAAAAACAACCTGGGAGACCAGACAGAATCTGGTCTTTGGAATAAAATTCTGATGTAAGACAATGCCTTCTACTAGGTATTATTTGCAGTTTTAATTGTTCAGTCACTAAGTCGTGTCTGACTCGTTTGCGACCCATGGGCTGTAGCACGCCAAGCTTCCATGTCCTTCACTATCTCCTGCAGTTTGCTCAAATTCATGTCTGTTGAGCCAGTGATGCCATCCAACCATCTCATCCTCTGTCATCCACCATTCTGCCTTCAGTCTTTCCCAGCACCAAGTTCTTTTCCAATGAGTCAGCTCTTTGAATCAGGTGGCCAAAGTATCAGAGCTTCAGCATCAGTCCTTCCAAGGAACATTCAGTGTTGATTTCCTTTAGGATTGACTAGCTTGATCTCCTTGTTCTCCAAGGGACTGTCAAAGAGTTTTCTCTAGCATCACAATTCGAAAGCATCAATTCTTTGGCGCTCAGCTTTCTTTATGGCCCACATCACATCTGTACATGATGACTGGAAAAACCATAGCTTCGACTACATGAATCCACAAACATGGAAAAGTAACACCATCAAAGGAGAGACTGTGGTCATGTGGACCTGGACCAGCAAAGGAGTACATTCTACACCAAGGGGCAACTGGACATTGTGACAATCACTACAGTGGTATCTTGGTGATCAGGGGCGCTGTGTGGGCTTCTCACTGAGGGGGCTTCTCTCGTTGCAGAGCATGGGCTCTAGGCACATGGGCTTCAGTATTTGCAGCACACAGGCTCAGAAGTCGTGGCGCACTGGTTTAGTTGCTCCACAGCATGTGGAATCTTCTCAGACCAGGGATCGAACCAGGGACCCCGCACTGGCAGGCAGACTCCTGTCCACTGAACCACAGGGAAGTCTGTCCTAAGTTATTTTTGACGCCAGTGCTTCCCGGACCACTCATAGAGAAATGAGTGAACTAGTTTGCAGAGCAATGAGTTCACAGAGATGATGGCTCTTATGGGAACAAGGAGGAAGCCCGCAAGGCTGAAGCTTGTCTGGTTCCTTTTCATCCTAAACTGGTAGCTCTTTCCAAGTGGTACTCTATCTAAATCAGTCTACCTACCTTCAAGCCAAGGGGGAAATGGACTTTAAAATCGGGTCTAGGAAGAGAGTCCCTCAAAGAATTTAAGATAGAATTACCCTGTGATCCAGCAACTCCAGTAAAAACCGAAAGCAGCGTCACAAACAGATACTTGTACACCCACATCTGTGGCAGCATTATCCACAAAGAGTTTTCTCTAGCTGAGAGGTGGAAATAACCTGTATGTCCATCAATGGATGAATGGATAAACATGGTATAGACACACAGTGGAAGATTATTCAGCCTTAAAAGGGAATGAAATTCGGACACGAGCTACAACATGGATGAACCTTGAGGACATGATGCTAA